CAGATGAAATGATAATATATATAGAAAATCCTAAAGATTCCACCAAAAAACTAGAACTGATAAAGCAATCCAGTAAAGTAGCAGGATACAAAATAAACATTCAGAACTTGGTTGCATTTTTATACACAAATAATGAACTACCAGAAAGAGAAATTCAGAAAATAATACCATTAACAATTGTATCAAAAATGCCTAGGATTAACTTTAGTCAAGGAGGTAAAACACCTATACTTTAAGAATTGTAAGATATTAAAGAAATAGAAGAAGATACAAATAAATATAAGTATATACTACGTTCATGGATAGAAAAAATTAGTATCATTGAAATGTCCATCCTTCCCAAACCAATCTATAGATTCAATGAAATTCCTATCAAATACCCATCATGTTTTTAACAAAACTAGAACAAATAACATAAAAATTTATATGGAACCACAAAACAGCAATTTTGAGAAAGAAGAACAAAGTTGGAGGTATCACACTGCCTGATATCAAACTATACTACAAGGCTATAGTAATCAAAACAACATAGTGTTGGCATAAAAACAGACACATAGATCAATTGAATGGAATGAGAGCCCATAAATAAATCCATACCTATATGGTCAATTAATATTTGACAAAGGAAGCAAGAACATATAATTGGGTAAAGACAGTCTGTTCAATGAATGGTGCTAAGAAAATTGGACAGATACAAGCAAAAAATGAAACTAGACCACCTTGGTATATCATATATAAGAATAAACTTAAAAAGAGATTAAAGACTTAACTGTAAGTCTTAAAACCATAAAAATCCTAAAAGAAAATATAGGCAGTAAAATCTCAAACATTTCTCTAGTAATATTTTTTGTGATATAACTCCTCAGGCAAGTGAAATAAACAAACAATAAAACAAACAAAGAAACAAAACCAAATGGGACTACATAAAACTAAAAAAGTTTTTGCATAGCAAAGGAAACCATCAACAAAATGAATATACCACCTACCAAATAAAAGAAGATATTTACCAATGATACATCCAATAAGGGGTTAATATCCAAAATTTATAAAGTATTCATATAACTTAACATAAAATAAATAAACAATCCAATTTAAAAAGTGGGCACAGGATCTGAATAAACGCTTCATCAAAGAGGACATATAAATGGCCAATAGACATGAAAAGGTGTTCAACATCATTAATCATCAAAGAAATGCAAATTAAAACAACAATGAGATACCACCTCATACCTGTCAGAATGGCTACCATCAATAAATCAACAAACAAGTGTTGGCAAGGATGTGGAGAAAGGAGAACCCTTTTGCACTGTTAGTAGGAATGCAGATTGGTGCAGACACTGTGAAAAACAGTATGGAGTTTCCTCAAAAAATTAAAAACAAGACTTCTTTATTACCCAGTGATTCCACTTCTGGATATATGAGGTCTGTCCAGAAAAAGTCCAGCCATTGTTACTATAACAAGAACAGTTTGTGTGACATCGATATGAATGGAGCCAAGGACAGTGGACGTGAACGTGCATGCATAAACAATGATAACTTCACTGTACCAGTCAGGGGGTGCAGTAGACACTGATGAGTGTGCATGTATACTGTGTGACTGTGGCATTAAAAATTACTGAGCAGCCCTGGCTGGCATAGCTCAGTGGATTGAGCACGGGCTGCGAACCAAAGTGTTGCATGTTCAATTCCCAGTCAGGGTACATGCCTTGGTTGCAGGCCATGACCCTCAGCAACCGCATATTGATGTTTCTCTCTCTCTCTCTCTCTCTCTCCCTCCCTTCTCTCTCTAAAAATAAATGAATAAAATCTTTTAAAAAATTACTGAGCAAGTAGAGCAATGACTCTGCATCAAATTTTGCGTTAAACTTGAATATTCCTCCACAGAAACCATTTGGGTGATTCAGAAGGCCTTAGCTATTGGCAACTGCTGATTGGCAGCTTCATCACCACATCATGCCTACTCAGGCATCACATCTCATGAAGAGTTGTTTGGCAAAATGTCGAATCACCCAGGTGACTCAGCCCTCCTACAGCCCAGATTTGGCACCCTGAAGCTTCTGGGTTTTCCCCAAAACTGAAATCGCCTTTGAAAGGGAAGAGATTTCAGACTGTCAATGAGATTCTGGAAAATATGACGGGGCAGCTGATGGTGACTTGAATTGTGTGAGGTCCCAAGGTGCCTACTTTGAAGGGGACTGAGGCATCAGTGTCCTGTGTAAAAGGTTTCTTGTATCTTGTATCTTCTTCAGTAAACATCTCTATTTTTCATATTATATGGCTGGATACTTCCTGGACAGCCTCATCTATCTGAAGAAACCCAAAACACTAATTTGAAAAGATATATGCACCCTTATTTTCAGTGCAGCACTATTTTACAAAGCCACTATATGGACACTACCCAAGTAACCATCAATATATATGTGAATTAAAAAGTGGTGGTACATATATGCAATGGAATATTACTTGGCCATCAAGAAGAATAAAATCTTACAATTTGAAATAGCATGGGTGGACCTAGAGAGTATTATGCTAAGTGAAATTACTCAGAGAAAGACAAATACTATACAATTTTACTTCTATGTGAACTTTAAAGAACAAAATAAACAAAACAAAACAAAATAGAAACACTCATAGATATCCAGAACAGACTGATGGTGCCAGAGGAGAGGGGGTTGAGGGTATGGATAAAAAATGGTGAATGGATTAAGAAGTACAAGTTGGTTACAGAAAAGTCACAGGGATGTACAACACAGCATAGGAAATATGGTCAATAACATTATAATAACTATGTATGGTGTTGGATGGGTAGTTGAAATATCAGGGGAATTAGTTTATAGAGGATATAATTGTCTAACCACTATGCAGTATGCCTGTAACTAATATAAAATAATATTAAATGTAAACTATAATTGAAAAATAAAGTTTAATAAGTAATTAAAGAAATAGATAAAGAAATAAAATTGTATTACTTTCAGTTCTATCATTGCATCTTTCTTAACAAAATTGCACTATTTTGGTCTAGTTTCAATAATTTTAACTTCCTCTAATAACAAAGAAAGATAATAAATCTTCAAAACATTTGAGACCATATTTAAGCAGTTAATAAAAACATTGGTGGTTGATGCAGAGGTTATAACTGTCTCATAAAGAACTCATAAAGAATATATTGCTTCAAATATTTGCTATATAAAAATGATACAAATGCGACAAAAAATTCAAAAAATTCAAAAATCCAATTTATATTGGGTTGGCCAAAAATTTGTTTGGATTTTCTCCATAAGATGGCTCCAGTAGCACATAGTTGTCTTTAACTTCATTTAAAACAATTTTGTTAGACTGTATTGTGACAGCTGTCATATCAGCAGGCATTTTTTTAAAGATTTTATTTATTTATTTTTAGAGAGGGAAGGGAAGGGGGGGAGAGAGAGAGACACACACACACACACATCAATGTGTGGTTGCTGGGGGCCGTGGCCTGCAACCCAGGCTTGTGCCGTGACTGGGAATTGAACCTGGTTCGCAGCCCACATTCAATCAACTGAGCTACACCAGCCAGGGCAGGCATTTAAAAAAAAAAACTTATCAAAATTGGTGAGTTTTTGTGTAGCCATTTTAATATTGAAGATGGAAGAAAATATGTAACATTTTTGGGATATTATATTTTATTATTTCAAGAAAGGTAAAAATATAACTGAAATGCAAAAGAAGATTTGTGCAGTGTATGGAGAAGGTGCTGTGACTGAACATGTCAAAGTGATTTGCCAAGTTTCAGGCTGGAGATTTCTCACTGAACAACACAGCATGGTAGGGGAGACCGCTCGAAGCTGATAGTGATCAAATTGAGACATAATTGAGAACAATGACGTTATACCACATGGGAGACAGCTGACATACTCAAAACATCCAAATCAATAAAGCTATAGATGAAAATTTAAAATATCTCTTGTTTTATGAAAAAAAAATATACAGATTTTTTGGCTAACCCAATATAATGTCCACACACAGTATAAAATACAGCCTTTGAGAAATTCTAAACTATTGGCATTCTAAAACTAGAAAGGGCAATAGGTCCGATCCCATTTTTAATCCTAAACTGTATATTAACTACAACAGGCAATATCTGAGTACTTCCATCATAAATGTCATAAGTTCTAAAAGCAATATTATATATTTTTAAATTGGGGTTATTTTGGCTAATACAATTACATGGGTTTAAGGTATATAATTCTATAACACATCATCTGTATATTGTATGGTGTGTTCATAACCCCAAGTCATGTCTCTTTCCATCATATTTCAATTCAGTGATTTTTGTTTAGGTTTTTATCATTTTCAAACACCAGTCTAATACAATTTAGACCCAATGAATCTCTTCCACTTCATTACTCTAAATCTGAAATCTTATATTTTCACTGTTTCTTTTGGATTATACTAAATTTAAAGGGCCCTGAGCCCTGGCTGGTTTGGCTCAGTGGACTGGGAATTGGCCTATGAACCAAAAGGTCACTGGTCTGGTTCCCAGTCAAGGCACATGTCTGGGTTGTGGGCCAGGTCCCCAGCGGGGAGCGTTTGAGAGGCAACCAATCGATGTTTCTTTTCCTCCCTTCCTTTCTCCCTAAAATGAAATAAAAATAAAATCTATTTAAAAATTTTTTTAAGAAAATGCCCTGAAACAACCAAAATCATATATGTTTTGCAAAAAATAAAATGCCTATATAGCAAGATTAACCTTGGTTCACTATCTACTTAATAGGGAATTCTTGACAAATAGAATCCCCAAAAGCTGTTCTTGGCAGAGTTGTTACACTGAGAACTCAAGTATCAGATGAGTGGCTCATTAGGTGACTTTTAAAATCCTGTTCAATCCTGAGTGTCCAGGATTTAGGTTATGAATCAATTTAATGCACTCTATCTGCTGAGTAAGTTCCTCATATTTCTTATAACAATAGCAATATTTGTAAAAAGAAAAGCTCACAGCCAACAGGGGAAATGGTACTTACGAGTACTGTGTCAGCAGTTCCAAATCATTATGCATGTTGATTGGATATGCTTCACTGAGTTCAAACAACTTCTCTAGGGCTTCATAAATGAAAATGATGCAAATAAGAGAAGCAAAAGCTTCTTCAGTAAACCGAGTGATATAGCAAACAAGGGAGCTTGCATCCGTAGCCACAAGTATGATACATAGGGTTGCAGTCCAAAGTCCAATACTAGCTCTTAAAGACAGGTATGACAGCCCATATTCTCTAGGAGGAGAAAAAGAATAGTATAAAGAAGGTCATTTAACAGCTTGCTACCATTTGAAACAGATGGAAACAAGTCTAATTCATGAAGTGCAAGTAAATAAGCTTCACATCCCCTGAATATCTAAACTCATGACTTTGTCTAAAGGGAGCATTTAAGGGGATACAACTAACAGGGGTTCTCAGGGTTGAGAACTGAATATAATTTTTTACAAACAATTACAAAACATTATACACAAATCTTTTCCCTTTTTCTTCATTTTCATGGAGAGACAAAAATGGCAAATGCAATCAAATCAGCCACTTCACCTCTCCCAGCAGACTGCAAATGTGATGTTGGGAGAACTATAAATACAGTAGAGAAACAGAAAGGAGCCAGGGGCCAAAAGTACATAACACTTACTTGCAAAACTTAAACAAAATCTTTTCAAACACCAAAACTGGTCCTGTACTGCCTAATATGGTAAGAGGCTGTCCACCAAAGAGAGAATAGGCTATCCCAGTCATGGATGCTCCAAAGAGAGATTCGATTGCACTCTGTGTAGAGATATAAATTATGTCATTATCTAAGTTGTATAGGCAACCATTATAACTAGGGAGAAATGCTTAAAATACATGGGGATATTTTTTTTCTTTTGTTTTGAAAAGCCTAGCAACCTTGGGCAAGATGTGGGATAAGAGAATAAAAAATGAGGCAGGCAGTCAGCAGAAAATAAATGGCAGTGAATAGGGATGTGGCTTCTCCATCTTCCTTATCTTGCTTTTCTTTTGCTTACTAAAAGTTTATGTATTTTCTGAAAGAGAATGGACAGAAGCACGACCTATATAAATGGGCTATAGACCTCCTGTGAAGGAAGAACCACAGCCTAAAACTAGCCTAGGATTGGGGGCCAGAGATGAAATGAGAAGCTTCTGTAAGACTCAGATTTAATTGTTATGTGATAGTCTACTTGCAGATCACCAGGTCTACCAGGCATCCAGGAAATTCACATGATGTTATCTGCCAGACCATATATCAGATATGTTCTCATAAAGGAATCCAAAATAAATGCTCACTTATCTAACTACGAATCTCAAAAACTGATGAATTTCAAACTTCAGAGAAAAGTGTAATACATACTATACGACCTTCAGTGGCTTCTCCCAGCAGTCCTCCAAATGTGATGACAGGAGACATACACGCGCAGTAGAGAAATAGAAAAGATGCTAAGCACTGCAGGCTGAAAGCATCTCTGAAGTCACTCCAGAAGTATGGAGCTTTTCTTTTGATATCTAAAATAAGTCCCCCAAAAATCCTAAGACAGGGGGGAAACACAATAGTGAAATCCAAATATAAAAAACATACAAGTCAAAATGCTCATTATCTTTGTTGCCAGGTCACAGTATAGGTTTTCCATCAGCTGAGATGAGACCCAATATTAATTAATCTGCTACAATGTATTATCATGGTTTACAGGGATGGCTTTGCACCTCTGTTTCCTCAGTTCCTAACCAAATGTGTCAACAACCAAAAAAATCCCAGGTTCTCTCAAACAAGGTTCAGAGCTGTTCAAATTTCAAACAAGATTTAGAATTACTGTAATTTCTGTGCCATTTCTACATCAACTTACTCCTGAACACAGGCCTACTATTGCAATTGTTGGCAGTATTTTCTAATTATTTGCATTGTATTTAATAAGCATAGATGAAAGTGACGGAGGGAGGGTAAACTGGCTTTTTTATATTCCAATAGTGAACATAAGCCTATAGAAAAAAAACAGTGTTTAACCAAGACTCCAGTTATCTACTCTCTCTGGCAAAAAATAGAAATAAAAAATAAACAAATGAAAACCTTTACCAGATACTGTTTCAACAGGCATCAAAATGGCCTTTGAATGAGACAGACAGGTCCACAGTTGTTTTCAATGTCAGGCAAAGGCAACTAACTAGGAAGAGAACTATCAATTTGAACTAATTATTGCCTAAATATATCCCAGTATCTGTCATTCACAAGACAATAATGACTTTACTTGGTATAAATTCATTTTTTTTTCAAATTTATCCAAACCACCATGAAACACTTGAAAGAGGATTAGCAGCAGGGAGGGGAGGAGATAGTATTAAACTGTGAAATGCTGCCTAAAATTTGAGGACTAAAATGTTTTTGGTCTATTAGGAATAAGAACATTAATGAAGAGGTATTCTCATTCTTTGAATGTTTAATAATACCATACAGATGTAACATTTGACTATGAAAAGCTCTCTGTGCTTCATCGAATAAAAACCCCGTGTTAAAATGAATGTGACTACAGTTAAGTTCCTACATGGAGGTTAAAAAAGTACCTATTTTATGTTCCCATACACTGCTGGTATGCTGACTATACTTAAATTATAGGACAATATTAAACTTTTGTTATTTATTTTCTAAATAGGAATATTCATTTGCAATCTAACAGTCACTTCCAAAATGACTGTTCTCTTGAGAAATACATTTACTTTGCCTTATAAATATACATCTTCAGAATAACTAAAAATTTTGAATATTATTTTTAATTTCCCTGAACTGACTGACATGCACATAATAGTACCGTATTAGTAACTTTCTCACTATTATGTGATTTATAGAATCATTTTGTTTTCCTAGTGACTTCTTCCATCAAAGGGACACGGAGTAGAAAAGGTTGAGAGGGTAAATTTTTAATTGGAAAAATGAAAAGGACATTTGAAACTCAGAAACTCTTGCAGAGAACCTGTGAAATTCACACACACACACACACACATACACACACACCATCTTAAGTTCCTCTACCTGCGTTATATAAAACATATGCATTTTTTTTATTTTGGGGATCATTTCTGAATGATCCATTAACTTGCCAAAGTCACAATTCAAAGTAGATTTAGTCTACTAGTCTATTTAATCATTCATTTATGATTTATATCCCACCTAATCCCCAAAAGAATTTGAGGTGGTTATAAACTATTCATTAGTAGTTAATATTTATAGGCTTGATAGCACTTTCTATTAGAACATTGTACGTATTAGACCATACATTAGTCTAAATAGTTCTTATATTACTGTGTAATCGTGTGCTTTTAGCGGCAAAAATCTAAATCCGGAAGTGGGAGGTCATTACAGAGAACAGTGCAAGAGCAGCCCAGATCAGATGTACACCAGGAACTCCGGGAGAGCAGATGAGTAATGGATACTTCAAGCCATGTCAGCAACAGAATCTGTGGAAGAACTCTGGAGAAGCGAAGATACCGGATATTGGTGACCTGGGAGGATTTAGGAAGCAGTAAGGAAAAGTGAACTTTGAAAAAAGTCTAGCTATGTGGCGCGTTACACCTGAGAGAGAGAAAACTATTACCACCAAAAATAAAAAAACAGCATTTGAAAATATGAAAGCAAACAGAAGGAGTAACAATGCTTCTATTAAAGGAAAAAGGAAAAAATTGTTTGAACCATCTCAAATAGGTATGCAGCCTGAGGAAGACATTAAAGGACATTTCCTCAGAGACAAACATAGATAAAAAGAAAGAACAGAGGAGAATTAAAATGCACAGAGTTGTCAGACACCAGGAAGTCAGCTTAGAAAACAGAGTGGAAACAGTACAAGAAATGGCCTTGAGGGGAAGGGAGTACCAATCCTGCAAAGCCTTTGCAATTGCCTTCAATTATAATGGAGGCTGTGTGCACACATTCTCTGAAGAGAGACCCACCCAAGGGTTTCTGATTTTCTGCTCACACATTGCTTGGAGAGAGACAAGCTGTCAAAAAACCATAAAGAATCATTTTAAGAAATAAATTGAAGCTTTCATCTCGTCAAAAATGTGTGATTAGAAAAATAAATCATATAGCTCTTTCAAATTACAATCATAAAAATAAAAATACTGTTATATACATCCTACTTGCATGTAATGACATAGAGTCTACAAGACTGAGTTCCTGCTATTTATTTTTATTTCCATCTTGAACTTGAAGCTTTCAATGAGCTCTTTGGAAGAGACAACTGACAGTTTTCTTATTCATTCTAAGAATCCGTGAATGTATTTTATGCATAGCAAAATAAAAGACTGGGTAAAATAATATGGAATGGTGTAGACACTTCTGACTAAATAATAATGACAATCATTAGTAACTACAGAGAAATAATATTAATTGGCTTTATTACTCCCAAAGAACAGGTATTCAAAGTGTTAAAAAAATTATACCTCAAAACAGCAATTCCTGGCACACAAGAATAGTATGGCATGTGGTTTTCAAAGTCACATACATGTGCCTTTGACTCACCTTCCTGTTCGCTGGAGTTCAGGTCCACTGTGTCCTCCATGGGGCTCTGCTTCCCCGTGAGCTGCTGTTCCATTTGGTACAGCAGGAATCTTCCTCTTCTCCTGTTGGAAGTGTGCTCGTTTTTGTTTGTAATACCAGATGCTAGTTTTAAATAACAAAACCAAAAATTTTCCCTTGAGGCAATATGCAGCGTAGCTAAGAACTCCAGCAAGTTAACTAGTTTCCCAAAGTTTCATACCCATTAATTTGATTGTGATTGAATTAAATGGGGTTTTGGACATTTATTTATTCTTTCATCTAATAGTTATTGAGTGCAGAGTGTGTGCCATTTATTATTATGGATGCTAGAAATATTCAAAGGTGAGCAAGAAAAGCATTCTATTAGTGAAGACAAGCAATTAACCTATAACATCAGGTAGAGATAGCTATGAAAAAAATAAAGTTCGACAAGGGGACAGAGTGACCAGGGTTGGGGTGAGGAGGTGGTAGATATGGTAGTGTAATATGCCTGGCATAGTCAACTGTTTGATAAACACTATTATCATTAGCTATTTTTTAACTGCATTTCTATCTTAGGTTCTAGCTGATATCTTCCTACCCAAGGAATTATTTATAACATTGTCCTTTCTGACTCATAGAGATCCTAAAGACTATCACAAAAAGGAGCTTCTAACAGAATCAATGCCAAATTAACTGAGGTTTATACAAGTGCCGTTTTCCCGTAAGTCTGGTCCACCTACTTTTGTCATTGAGAGAGATTTTTGAAAATCATAAAAATTCTATCTATTGGTAATCTTAGAGCACACCAATGTATTCAAAAGTACCTAAAAATAATAAAAAAATTAAATGGTGCAATTATAATTTTTACTTGACTGTCATTTTAAAATAATATAAACATATAAATGTGTTTTTCATGTTTATTGTAAACATGAAGAACAAAAGTGAATTATCAAAGGATCTTATGTACAATAGGACATTTTTCTCATGTTTTGAACCTGTACATTTATTAGCCATTTCAACAATCTGAGAGTATCATGATGGTACCTTGAAATGGGATATGAACAATGGGTACATAAAATAGTACAGATTTAGCCCTGGCTGGCGTAGCTCAGTGGATTGAGCTCAGGCTGCGAACCAAAGTGTCACAGGTTCGATTCCCAGTCAGGGCACATGCCTAGGTTGCAGGCCATGGCCCCCAGCAACCACACATTGATGTTTCTCTCTCTCTCTCTTTCTCCCTCCCTTCTGTCTCTAAAAATAAATAAATAACATCTTTAAAAAAATAGTACAGATTTAAAACATGAGAAAAATAGGCTTTAAAATGCACAAAATATAAGAAAGTTTATTGTTTAATATTTTTACAATTTTCTAGGAATATGATTAGATACAATGAACTGAAGTGAAATAAAGGATTTCTGTGAATTAATAAAAAAATTACCTTGGTAAGTAAGTAATTAGCATATAGTAAATGACTATAAAAGTGACCATCAGAATGTTCACTAACCAATCACTTAAGGAAAAAACATTTCTTAGCTTCCTCAAGTCTTAGAAAGCAAGTGATATTGTTGGATCTTCTGGGGAATTATCCATTAATGGATAAGTTAAATCATTATTTTACAGTGGGAAAGGCTATACATTGATAAGGCAAATAATAAACCATGAGGATATTTGCCAGTCAAAAGAATCTGTTTCCTCAAGAAGTGTTCATTTTGTAGTAAGGGGGAAAAAAATTTTGAAAAGAGAAGTTTGTATGAATATAGTGCCAGTGAATGCTTTGAAGAATAATATAGAAAATATTTTTGTTCAGAAACATACATATTTTGATATTTCAAAACAAATCAATTGTTGAGTAGATATTTGACCACTCAGATTTTTATTAATTCAATCAACAGACACTTAATTGAGAGTCAATTTGTGTCAGGTACTAGGCCCCACCACTGTGAACAGTGGACAAATCAGGCCTGTGGAGTTCACATTCTAATGGGGAAGGCAAACAATAAACAAATAAGTACATTAATTCTAAGGTACTTCGGAACGATTAAAAGCTATGGAAAAGTAAAATTTAGAGCAGAGTAGGGGTGGCTTTGAGGTACAGGATAGGCAGTGGGGAGGAGGGAGTGGCAATTATAAATACAGTGGTCAGGCAAGATCAGTGAAAAAATGTCATTTGAGAAAAATTTGAGGGAGTCAGGAAATTATCCATGACAATAACTGGGGGATATTCAAGCAGAAAGAATAGCCAGTGGGATAGTCTTAAGGCAGGAGTGTGGCTGATCGGTTTAAAGAACAAGAAGCGAAGAGGCCAATATGGTTGAAGAGGAGTGAACGAAGAGGGAAGTGGTAGGAGATGACTTCTGAGAAGTAAAGGGAGACAAGATTGTATAGGTTTAAGAGACCCTTGTAAGTGTCTGGCTTTTATTCTCAGTGAAATGAGGAACTTGTGCAGGGTTTTGAAGACAAGAGCAGCATGAGCTAACTTGGAGTTAGGCTGGCGACTGTGTTGAGAACATGTTCTAGGGGCCAAGGGTAGAAACAAGACCAGTTAGAAGGCAATTTCAGTAATCCAAGAGTATTATGATGGTACCTTGAAACAGGATGGTAGCAGTAACATTTGTGAGAAATTGTATAATTCTAGATAAATGTTGAAGGCAATGCCAAGAGTATTTTCTGGCAGAAGAGAAGTCAAGTATAAGAGAAAATAATAAATGTTTTTGGCTTGATCAACTGTAAACCTGGAATTAGTACAGTTGTAAGTGCAGAGTTAGTCCTACCAAGATGGGATGGTACAGATAGAATATAATTTAAGAAAAGATCGGTTTCTTATTTACTTCAGGAAGCATTATATTGACTTTTCCTAACATAAACTGCAAAGATGTATATAGGACAGAAAGTCGACAGTTTACTGTTCAGTTCAAACTTAGAACATGTTAAGTTTTAGATATCTAAAAGACATCCAAGTGGAGACACAGAATAAGCATTTGCATAAATAATTTTCAAGTTCAAGGAGAAAACTAAATTTGAGAGAGGATTTAAGGCTATGGAAACTGGAAGATATTACCAAGAGGATGAGTACAGGTAGTAGAGAGAATTATGACTAAGGACTGAGTCCTTTATCACTTCACCATAAAGAAATCAGAGACAAGAGGGAACCAGAAAAGAAGACTGGGAAGGTGTGATACCAAGGTGCAACGAGGAAAACTTAGAGTGTGGTGCTTTGGGACCAAGAAAGAATAGCAAGGAGTTATTAATGCTGTCAAATGCTGCTGATTGATAAGCTAAATAAAATGCAGATTGAGAATTAACCATGGAATTTTGTATTGTAGAGATCTTTGCTAACTTTTATGTAAGTAATTTTAGCAAAGTGATTGATGTAGTCAAAAGACTTATTTGATTAGGTTTAAGAGAGAATTGGAGGAGAGGAATTAGAGGCAGGTAGTACAGAGAACTTTCCAGTGGCATCTGGTTGCAGTGGAAGCAATACTCACAATTCCTTTTTAAGACACAAAAATTAGCAGTGTTGTATGCTAACAAAAATAATATAACACAGAACAAAAAAAATTGATGACACAGGGGAGAAAAAAGAGAATTGGTGTATAATGTTTGAGTTGGTGTGAACAGATGGGGTCTAGTGCACTGGTAGAAGGCTGACTTTGGATAATTCATCAGTAGTATTATACAGGAGGCAGAGTCTGTTGCTGCAGATGCCAGCAGATGGGTAGGGGTGGTGGTGGAAGTCTGGAAATTCTTTTAATCATTTCATATTCCTTAGGGAAATAGAAAGCAAGTCAACATCTGAGAGTGAAGGTCAGAAAGGATATGATGAGGGTTTGAGGAGAGAAAACAGGTGTGAAATGTCATCTAGAGAGAATGATTGGACTAAGGTAGTCGATGAACTTGCAACATTAAGAGCTCACTTGAGGTAGGTGGTCAAGAATTATGTGAGATCAGCCAGTGTAATTATGTGTTTTCTTTCAGCCACATTCAGCTGTAACAATGCAGGTAAGACTAAAAAGTTGAATTCACACAGGGTTATAGTTTTGACAAGCAAGTAAATGGCATGAAAGAAACAAAGAAGTTGAGAGTATACAAAAGGGAGTGATTATAATGACTGATACAAGTTATAATGATATATATAGGGTCATTATTGAGGTGACTGGTTATTCTCTTAACTGAAAGGAAAAGTATTTGAAAGTCCTTTTTTATACATTTCAAAAGAATAAAAACCATGGAAAGTAGTCCATGGGGGGAAGTATTATTTGAACAAGTATGAAGTAAGAATGCTTAATATGTTTGAATTCATTTTGCTCCATCTAAAAAAAGAAAACACAGTTTCATAGTATGTTACAACATACATTAAAAATTTTAATCTTGTACAGAAGCATACAGCCTATATCTAATTCAAACTCAGCATAAATTGTGCTAATATGATAGCCATTGGAAACAAGTAGCTATTTAAATTTAAGTTAAAGTTTAAAATTCACTTCCTCAGTTGCAGCAGGCACAATTCTAGTGATTAGTAGTGGCTTGGCTTATTATATATCATAAACATAGAAAAGCTCTGTTCTCACAGAAAGTTCTTTTGGACATGCTGATATAGAATGTCAATACAGACAGGTTAGAGCATCTGTTCAAGGTTGTACAAAAATAGATAATAGCAGAACACAGGTGTCATGATTCTTAATTCAATGTTCTTTCTACCACTACCTCCCAATAGCCAGAATCCCATAAATTCTGGTAGAGATTAATAAAAATAATTTTAAAAAATACAGAGCCCCCATGCTTCAACTTGCCTCAATAACATCATTTCTCAAAGTCAAGATGTTTTAAAAAATGCTCGTCTTCAGTTTTAATGTTTGAAAAACTAATTGATATTAAAAAGTGATTTTTAAAGTCTCAGTCTCAATATATTGATATTGTCATTAAATTTTCCAAATAAAATCAATTAAAGAGTTTCTTAGTACTTCAGGAAGCATTACATTGCTTTTTCTACTATTGTAAGTACAAAGATGTATGTACACAAGCACAAAAATAAGACAATGCATAAGCCTTAAAATTACTCCTTAAGCAACTTCTTTTTTAAAAAAAAGATTTTATTTATTTTAGAGAGGGAAAGGGAAGGAGAAAGAGAGGGAGAGAAACATCCATGTGTGGTTGCCTCTCACACACCCTCTGCTGGTGATCTGGCCCAAAACCCAGGCAAGTGCCCTGTCTGGGAATCGAACCAGCAACCCTTTGGCTTGCAGGTCTTCGCTCAATCCACTGAGCTACACCAGCCAGGGCCTTAAGCAACTTCTTTAATTTTAGTAGTGGGTCAATTGAAAGTATGTGGCTATACTTACAGAATCACAAAATTATAATTGCCAAGAAAAGAAAATTATCTTTAATGCTACAAAATGACTTCAGAATGAAAATACAGACTTAAGACAAATATCAGCTTATTTTCCTTAAATTGATAGTGGGATTAAGATGACTTTTTAAAACACTCATGTCTGAGTGGTGTACCTGTTCATTTGCCCACCTCTGGCTAACCCGAAGAACATCTCTATCCCGGGGTGGGCCAATTAGGCCATCTATTACTGCACCTAGTGTAGTTAAGTCAGACCAGGCTGGACTCCGTAGGGACGAGAGCCAAAGACAAGGCTGAGCAGATGACAACTGGGACAGTTGTAGGAGGCAGATTCAGTAGAAACAGAGGTGACACTATGAGTGGGCGTAACAAACATTTGATGGTGAGTCTTAACAAAGTCATGCCCCCAATGAAGTAACCCTAACTAATTACAACAGTCTTTGTTTCCATCTTTCTGGATTCTATATATAATGAGTACATGTACATTAGATCTTTATAGGCAGAATTTTTATAATTTTTATACCATGTACTCACACAAAAGTAATATAAACATATAAATTTTAATTAAAATATTTCCCAATCATTAAGATGATTAGAAGTAACAAGGAATTTTCTGTGTAATATGACTAAGCCATGCCTTTGAATTTTCCTAATACATGCTAACTTCAAGCCATGCATCAGAATATAGGAAGACAGTAATGAGCTTTTTCTTAACCATATTTTATGTCTTCATTTAAATTTAATTTTCCTCCAGTATAATATGTTTTAAGGTGGGTCTAAAGTTTTTCCAGGCATAGAGGACTGTTTGATTTAGTAGCATATCATCCATACACCAAATTTCTCAGTGAGGTATGTTGGATAAAATCAGGAAGACTTTGTAACTCCATGCCCCTGCCTTTAAAGGTTAGTTTCTAGTACCAGTTCTGAAGTGGAGAAAAGAGGGATTCCTAACACCAACAGGCAATGCTCCAGACACCAGCTGGGTGTCCTACAATTCAACTCAATTTGGACACTATCTCCCCAGAGATAGCATCAGGTACCACAGGTTGAAGGCTCAGTCCTGCAAGATGGCCCCCTCACCCCCAACGCCCACTTCAGATGCCAGTTGCAATCTCAGGTTGTTAACTGAGCTTCTGACTGACTTGGGAATCAGAGGTTCCCAAGACCCTCTGTTTGGGCTTCAACCAATTTGCTAGAGTGGCTCACAGAATTCAAAGAAACATTTTACGTATTAGGACACTAGTTTATTGTAAAAGGACATAACTCAGGAACGGCAGGTGTTAAGGATGTGTAAGACAAGGTATAGAGAAAGGGCAAGGAGCTTCCTGTCCTCTCCTCTCCGGGTGCATGATGCCCCTCAACCTCCATGTGTTCCACAGTCTTGAAGCTCTCCAAACCCTGTCTCTTTGGGGTTTTATGCAGGCTTCATTCATAGCCATAACTGACTAAACTTCTGGCCATTGGTGATTGAACTGAATCTCCCACCCGTGTCCCTTTCCTGGAGGTGGGCTAATCCCATGGTTGGTTTCACTAGGAATCAGCCCCCATTTTAAGTGAGTTCCAAAAGCCACCTCCGTAACATAACAAAAGACACTTTTGATGCTCTCATCACAGGAAATTCCAAAGGTTTTAGGAACTCTGTGCCAGAAGCAAGAAGAACTCCAAATTTGTATTTCTTATTATACAGCACAATATTACAGAGATTATAATTTAAATCACTTGAATCCTGTTGATAGGTTGTAGTATTTCGGTAGATGTTTGTAAAAGGCAAAAATTATAAACTTTTGAGTATTTTCAAATATACATACCTGGGAAGGAACATTTTTTGGAGGCTCTATACGAATGCTTGGATCCCATTCTCCAGGAGGGAGAACAGTAACCTGATCCAGAAATTCATCAATTCCTGAAACCAAGTCATTACGATCTTTAGCTTTGTAAGCAACATCATGAAACACCTATAGAAGGAAAAGAAATATCATTAATAGACTTTTAAAAAAAATTATAAAATCTTAATGCATTCAGTGTTTTCATTTCCTCGTCATCTCACATGTGAATATACAATTTGAAGAAACAGAAGTTTTTAATGTAACAAAATATTATAATTTAGTTTAATATATGAATGCCCAAAGATATATATTTTTTCTTGGAGTGCTAGAATGAATGTTGGAATTTCTGGAGGCAAGAATAAGGAAAAGGGCAAGGAGGATGGAAGTGAAGAGACCAAAATTCTGCCACCCGAAAGCTGCTTTTGAAGAGATATTGATTTTCAGCTATTTATTGAGAAACAAAAGACTCAAAAAGAACCTTTGATCTCTCCCGCTTCCAGCCCAAGAGATTCAAAGGGAGAAAACTGCTTCAGGAAGATCTTAGAATGCAGCCTTAGCCTGATTTGAATTCAGTATAGTAAACAAGAGGGCAGGTGCCAGTTTGCTAGATGCCCTCTGTGTCCCATTGTTTCTGAGTCACACCTAGCAAGGATTTTCCTGCCTGGTATGTTTCACGCTTCTTCAACTACCTGTAAATGGCCCATTCTCACTTCTGAAATCTAATACCCTGTTCCCACGAGTCCTGTTCTCTGTACACAGTGTCTTAGATACCCAATTTTGCCTCACTCTCTTTGGAATTTTCTGCCTGTGTGAATTCCCCACATGCATGTATTAAACTTTTATTTTCTACTGTTAATGTGTCTCTGTTAATGTGGTTATTGGCCCAGCCTACAAGACTTAGAAGGTGGGAGGAAAAGTATTATTATTTTTTTTAGCTCTCACAGAAGGAAGCTCATTAAAATAGAATTAATGATTCAAACACACCAAAGGTTATTTATGTATAGTAAATCAAACTTTCTGAAAGATGCCCTTGCTTAAAAATAGAGACGCAAATTTATAGAATATATTAGAAATTTTAGTGATATTTACACCCTGGCATACATAAACTAATTCAAAAGGTTAATTTTTTTCAATCATTAAGTAATAATAAGGTTATAAAATAGGGTTTTCTGGTATATATCTATACAGTTTGGAAAGTATATTTCCACTCAAAGTATGAGCTACATTTATACACACACACACACACACACACACACACACCCTGTGGTAGTCATTTTAGCTACAGACAGATAATGCAGGTCTTCTAGAGACAGAGTAGGAGTGCAGCCCTTGCTTTCTTCCATATTAGGGTCAGGTATGCTCTATTTAGGTGTATATATGTCACTTTCCAGTGGAAGTTATGAGCCCCAGTTGAGATTTATCACATAGCCTTTTGTCTGCCATAGTGACTGAGAAAACAGGTCAAGCTGAAGCTTCTATGAGCCCGAATGGCTATAATTAGCAGAGCCTCTCTGCTAGTTTGTGATGGACACAGAGCATAACAGAAATAAATCTTGGCTGTCATAAACCACAGAGATTTCAGTTGGTTATTTCTAGTTGGAGATTTCTAGTAAGATCCTTACTAGAAATCTCTTAAGTATGAATAACATATTTAACATATAAAAAGTAGGTAAAACAAAAATAAATGGGAAAAATTAGTTTATACTAAATATAATATAAATATTTCTGACATTTTCTGTATTTTGGATAATATGAAATTTAACAAACATTTGAGATTTGGGACTAATGTATTATTCTTTATGCTAATCTATATTACATTAACCAAATGCCCCAAACTTTACAGGAAAATTTTACTTTCACATACTCCTTTCTACTTTTAGACCATGTGTTTTAGTGAGTGGTTTGACATTCTAAACTGCTAAAGAAGTGATAATGATTTTCAAAGACTTTGTCTTTACCTTCCAACTAAGAACATTTCACACACACACAGATCACTGGTACAATAAATACACACTCCTTTCCTAGAAGAATATAAAGATATCAAAGATGTATTAATGGTTTAGTTATATTTTGAGAAAGAGAATTTTTAAATATGAAAACACAGATTTTCCTGTCATAAACCACTGTGTTTATGGCTCAGAATAGCTGTCCTCTTCTAAAGATCTTTATATGGCCAGGAGACCTAAACTGAACTTTTAAGAATTGCAAATGTTCTTAATCCGAATCAGAGTTAAGTTGCTCTACTCTTTATCTGCTAATTGCTATTCTCTTGAAATTTTTCTTGATTTAATCTCATTTAATTTAAAAGATGCTTCAAGAGATCACATGATCTTATACCTGCTTTAGACAGATGAACATCCAAATTCATCCAGAATAGATGATTCTTTATTATTTCAAAGCTCCTCAAAGGCGTGTATATATAGATATACATACATACATATGACATATATATATACACATATATATCAGTTTGATTTTATAATAAAAATTTTACTTATTATTGTTTCCCTATCATTTTCCCCAATAGCTTAATTACTTTAAATTGCTCTTCTCCCTTCTGTTTGTCTAGCTACCCTAACATCCTGATTTCAATATACATCTGACTTCTTGAGAAGCCTTCTCTGATCCACTCTCAAAGATTAGACACCTCGTTAGTACTCCCCTGACATCTTGTCCTTTTTCTTGACAGCTTTCTCTGTAATTATAATTACTCATTACAATTGCTAATTATTTAATTAGTTGTCTAATCCCTTTTTTCCTAATAAACATAAGCTCTGAACACTCATTCAATAAATATTTATCAAAGTATTTATGTGCTAGGGATAGAGCAGTGAACAAAACCAACAAAAATCCATTCCTTCATGTAGCTTACATTTTAGAGGGAGCGGGAAAATAAAAAATAAGCAATATAAGTATATAGTTTGTTGGATGGTGGAAAGTGTATGGAGAAAAATAAAGCAGAAGAGAAGAATAATGGTATGATGGGGATGCTGCAATTTTAAATGAGTTGAAGGAAATCCTCAATGAATAGACATTTCAGCAAAATCCTTAAGTAGTTAAGGATGCAAGACATGTAGCTATCAGAAGCAAGAGCTTTCCAGGCAGATAGAATAGCTGGTGCAAAAATTCTCAGGTAAGAGAACACATGTCATATTTGAGAAATAGCAAGGAGGCCACTTCCTTAAGGAGGAGTGAGCTAGAGGGAGAGTAACAGGAGATGAGTTGGAGAGGTAAGGTAGAGGAGGCAGAAATACATCCTGTAGGGCTTTGTAGATTATTATAAGAACTTTGACTTTACTCTGAATAAAATGGGAAGCCATTAGGGGGTCTTGAGCAAAATACTGACTGTGCTAACTTCGGGGTTGAGAACAGAATAAACGGTGCAAGGGCAAAGATAACAACTAGGAGTCCATGGCAACAACAGAGTAATAATGGGGATAGACCAGGTGATACGAGTGAAAGCCAGGTGATAACAGTTCGGAAAGGGAGAAGCAGTAGCATTCTGGAAATACTGTGAAACTAGACCCAAGAAGGTTTACTGATGAATTAGATTTGGGTGTGAAAGAAATAGAAGGGTCAAGGATGCCTTCATGGTTGTTCCATGAGGCCAGCAAACATGCCTTTAACTTCTAGCACTTTATCTTCAATGAACAGTGGACAATAAATATATATTTATCACAATAACATGAAATATGCACTAATATTATCATTCCCAGTTCGAAGATGAGGAAATTGAGGCAGAGAGAGTTGAAGTTAACTTGCCCAAGCTCGTACAACTAGGAAGTGTCTTCCCTTTTTTCTTTTCTTTACTTTCCTTCCTCCTCCCTTCCTCTTCTTTTTAAAAGATAGGAGATTTGGAACATCTTTGTCAGGTAATAAAAATAATATAGTAGAGTGGGAGAAACTGATAACATAGGAGCCAGAGTGGATAATTAAGGAGCAAATTTCTCCTCAATGCAGTGGGAGGGAAGAAGGAAGGATCTAGAAAAGAAGACTGAGAAAAAGCACCAGTGAAGTAGGAAAAAACAAATGAGCAAACAAACAAACAAACAAACAGCAAATGTGTTTGTTTTGTTCCTTCAAGTCTGCTTTTACTATTTTTGGACCTCTGTTCCATACATTGCTTAGAATAAGCTTATCAAGCTCCTTGACAAATCCTGTTGGGATTTTGACTGGAATTACATTGATTTCTCTCACCGCCGTTGCCTGCCTAGATTGTTGCAATGGACTCTTAAGTGGTCTCTGCTTTTATTCTTGCTCCTCTACAAGGGCTGAACCCAGGAGTTCAGTGATCCTTTTAAAATATAGAATATATCATGTCATTTCTCTCCTCAAAATCTTCCATTTGCATCCCAACTCAAAATCCTTACATGACCTACAAAACTCCTACACAGACTGATTGGTTACTTCTCTGATCTCATTGCCCACTGTTCTCTCCCTTTCTACCTCCTGTTCCACTGAGTTCTCCTTCTAGCTATTCCCCGGATATTGCTGGCACACTCCAGTTTCAAAGCATTTGCTCTTGTTTATCTTTTTCCTTGGAAAGCTCTTCCCTCAGATATCTGAATAGCCTGCTCTTCCTCCTTTAGTTCTCTGCTGAAATGTCTTCTTGGTAAGGCCTTCCATGACCACCTACTTTTTATTTGCAGCACTCCCCATCCCACCGCTGTCTCTCTTCCCTGATTTCATGGTGTCCTCCATAGCACTCATCACCACATATCACATTTTCTACTTATCTATATGTTAATCTGTCTTTCCACTAGACTGTTAGCTCAATGAAAGAAAGGATGTTGTCCAATTTGTTCACTGATACATCCCCAGTAACTGCAAGAGTGCTTGATAAATAGTTCACATTTGATAAATACATATTCAATGAAATAATGAAGAACAAAATGAGGGAGGGATTTGTCCTACTAGAGATGAAGATGAATTATAGTAAAGCTGCTGTAATAAAGACAGTGATGAGACAGAAATGGATAATTTTTGTTTGAATGTAGGCATTGCTATCCATTGAAATAAATAATGAAAAAATCAATAAATAGCACTAAGCCAAGTGATTATCCATATAAAAATGAAATTGGATCTCTACCCACATCTTACCAAATGCAATTATAGGTAGATCAAAAACTTACATGTGAGAGATAAAGTATAAAACCCATTGAGCATAATACAGAAGAGTATATTTATGACCTCAGGGTAAGGGATATCACAAATTTCAGAGATTTAGCACACAACTATTTTTAGCTGTACTTCACGGGAAAGAAAGAAAGAAGGGTGCGATAATGTCAGAGCCAATAAGATATCAAGTGACATGAGTACGAAAGACAGGATACACCATTTGAAAATGGTGACCTTACTTAAAGCAGTTTCAGTACAGTGGTAGTGATGGAATCACTGCAATGTGCCAAGAGATGAAGAAAGCTAAGATATTTAGGACCGGGTAGAGCCTGAACCTTAAAAGTTCTTGAGATTCAGATTCAAGCAGTACCTCAATGGTAGATGGTATAGTAAGCAGTAAGAGGTTTTATATTAAGGATGGGAAAAACCTGAACATTAATTTCAAATGAATTTCTTAAATAGCTACTATCTATTGGCTGTCTTTGCTGACTGAATGGAGTCACTGCTGACTTAAAATCTAGATGACAGAGAGAGAAAATTGTTGGCTCAAAAATGCAGAACAAGAAAAAGAAAAACAATGGCACTCAGCAATTTTCTTAGTTTTCATTTTTGCTTTTATTTTCATAAAACTGTTATTTGTGCTAATATACAATGGCTTTATTATTGTTCTATTTAAACAAATATATAATTTTTTAAATTCCCAATTTCAAGTTCTATTATGATCAACATTGACATACTATCTACATAAATAAAAGGTCATTGAAGTGTTTAATAATTTTCAAGGAATCAAAAGAATAATACATTGGTAGTAGTGCTAATAAATAAAATCATATGTTTTATCTCTAGTAATACTCAACAGAAAAATAGAAAATAAATGATTGGAGTAATTCAAGACAAGGTATTACTAAAAATGATTTAACACATTCAGTCTTCAGCTCCTTTATAAAAACATTTGAGCCCTGACTAGAGTGGCTCAGTTGGTTGGGTGTCGTCTCACAAAGCGAAAGGTCATTGGTTCAATTCCTGGTCAGGGTACATGCCTGGGTTTCAGGTGTGGGACCCGGGGACACACATGGGAGGCAATTGATCAATGTTTCTCTCCCTCTCTTCCTGTCACCCTTCCCCTATCTCTAAAAATAAATAAGTAAAACCTTTAAAAAAACTTATTGAGTCTATTTTTATTTTTGTTTATTTTATTCTTCAGATGTCACATTTAAATGAAATCATATATGATTATCTAACCACTAAGCTATATACCTGAAACTAATACAAAGTGATATTGAATGTAAACTGTAATTGAAGAATAAAATTTAAATTAAAAAAGAAATGTATTGAACTATGAGTGCCAGACACTATAGTAAGTCTGAAGATACAAAAGAAAAAAACAAGATTTCCCAGTACAGAAAGGAAAAACACACAAAGAGCTCATCAACAAATGTTTATTTAAGCTCCTGAGAAAAATAAGGGCACTAAAATGAGTAAGTGGTAACTGCTTTCATGGAATTAACAGTTTGATAATACAATCCAATTCACCATTTTCTTAAAGTGAACTTTATGAATCAACATGTTAAATTTAGTTCTTAATGTGTACAATTACTTAATAGCCTTCAAAGCACTTAGATAAGCAGAATAATTTTTCCTCATTGGCTTTGAACAAAAAATATTATTTTCTCTTTTAAAAGTTTTTAATCATTGTTGATAGTCAATGAATGTACTATTGTAATTAACATGTCCTATTGTCGTCAACAGATCTCTTCTTTTGGAGTAAATTTCCAACTGACTTTCTCTGCCATGACTTTCCATGCCACTGTTATCAGGGAGTTACCAAGTGCACTAAAGCTAAGCTCTAAGTCTAAATAATTCATGTCTGAATCCCCTTTAGGTGCCTCATTAATCAAGGAAATAAATGGAAGTCCTTATCTGCTCTTATTCTAAATCTAAAATTTAAAAAACATGAATGTTTCTCTGTTATTCCATGTCCACTTGATTAGTTAACAACCTGGACACTGACATCTTTCCAATGAGAAAATCTTAATTCCTAATTGGAGGAGGTTTAGGAAGTGAGAGACCTTGGGTATGTATGGCACCTGCCATGACACAATATGCTCTTTTCACCATGTAACATGATCCATGCCCCAGAGATATCTTAAAGTTATACCCCAATGTCTTACATGTGGAAACATAACATGAAATATATGCGCCCATGAACTTATAGAATACAAATAACAGCGTCATTTATTTTGCAATACTGTAAAATTGCAAAGTATTAATCAATGTGGAAATACTACAAGCAAAGATACTGAGTGTTATCTCATAAAGAGTTCTACTAGAGCAAGTTTGTGATCCTCATGAAGCCCTTTTTTTACTCTGTTATCTTCTCCCAGATTTCTTCAATAAAATGTTACATATTGTAGTGGATGAAATAGTGTCCTCATAATGAGGTGATATATGCATTGAGAGGATATATATATATATATATATATATATATATATATATATATCCACCTGAACCTGAGAATGTGACTGCATTTGAATTACACCTTTGCAGATGTAATTAAGGTAAGAATCTTAAGATGAGGTCATCCTGGATAAGGATGGGCTCTAAATCTAGTGAGTGTCTTTATAAGACATGGAAAAGTAGATGACACAGAGAGACACAAGGGAGAAGGCCCTGTGAAGAGGGAGGCAGAGACTGGGGTTTTGCTGCCACAAGCCAAGGAGTACCATGAGCCACCAGAAGCTAGAGAGACAAGGGAAGGTTTTCCTCTAAAGCTCTCACAGACCCACCCTGCCCCAAAATATGAGAAAATGCATTACTCTTGTTTTAATGATCCAGTTTGTATAATTTTTTATGGCAGCCATAGGAGACTAATATACTCAATAAGCTGTTTTTTTCTGAAACTGATGAAAAAAATGTGTTTCTTCTAACTTTTGGTTTCCTATATGTAGATATCAACAACAAACTGATATAAAACCATAAAACATAATTTGAGCAGATAGAGTAATTTCTATCAAACACAAGTTCAAATTTTCAGATTTCATAAGGCTATGAAAAATGATACACAATATTAATTTGCTCTTTTTACAGACTTTGAAGTATTCAAAGCTATGTAAAGTTCAGTAAATACATCATTAAATTATTTAGAAGAGATTCTAAAATTGTACAATCCCCATTTGTTATTTACTATTAAGTATTGAATTTATGCCCCTTCTGTGATCTTTTGCATCTGCTCCTCCTTAATAAGAAGAACAATAAAGCGATAAAAGTAGATCTCAATAAGGTGTTGGGGAATACAAGAAACCAGTTATATAATACTACATTTTATGTTCTTTTTTACATTTTTGAGATACAGCTTTGAGAAGCTGACAAAAGTTGTTTGCAGTTCAAAAAATCAACGTACAAATCTTCTACCTAGAAAATGTATGTGCTATATCAGAGGAATCACTTGAAATCCAACTATTATTTTCTAATGGTTCAAACACTCCCAGGTTGAGAACGGCTACATAAGGCCCATGGATGTTGCATCATTTTTATTGTCATGTATAGTATTCAGATAATCTGCCATTGTTTTTTCTTGAGAACTTAAAATTATTTTGCCCACTCACTGTGGTTGCATACAACCCTGAACTTACTAAAAAGCAATGAACTGTACTCTTCAAATGGGTACACATTATGTGCCATATGACTTTTATTTCAGTAAAGTTGTCAAAATTTTTTTTCAAGGCCTGACCAAGGTGTCTCAATTGTTTGGGCATTGGCCCATAGGGCAAAAGGTCACAAGTTTGATTTGGTCCAGACACCCAGGTTGCAGGTTCAGTCCCTGGTCAGGGTGCATGCAAGTGGCAACTGATCAGTTTCTCTCTCATAAATGTTTCTTTCCCTCTCTTCCTCCCTTCTCCTCGCTTTAAAAATAAATAAATAAATATTTTTAAAAAAACATTTTTAAATTACTTTCCCCAAAACAAGATTTGCAATGATAGTAATGATAATACTACTTGCTCTGAAAACATATATAAGGGGAATATTAATACATATATTTTAAATGTTACTAAATAACAAATTTTTAGACTATGAGATTTCAAAGCATTATATTCATGTGTGTGAATTTATTACCGCTTTTAAACAAATTTTTCCAAAAGAAATTTCATAGTGAAATCACAGAAGAAGGGATATTCAATACAGAGAAATTGAATTCACAGCAAATTGCCACAAATACAGGAGCCCCCAAAGTTAGGTGTACCTAGTGGGCAAAATGTTCCCAAAGAACTTGAATAAATACCTCATCTGTCATTAGGGTTGCAATTGATCTGCCAATCTCATGGTACTGTTGACCCTTTCCCAGGGGTCCCAGAAGAATGAACAAAAATCTGTAATTAAGAAAAAAAATAAAGCAAATGTTTCATGGTAGAAATGTAAAAATTATTTTAGTAGTACAGAATCACTCATCTAAAAGGAATTACTGCCAATGGGGATTTCTATATCAAACACTTTGGTATTTTTTCACCGTTAATTATTTTGAAATATTTCGTAATGCTTGACTCTTATGCTCTTAAGCAATGGGAATCTGTGGTTATTTTGATCTCAGTGTTTCCCTCATTTCAATACTGGTAGAGCCTACACAGTTGTTAGTGAGAAATGCAAGGATTCTATAATTTTTAGAGTAAGGTGACAAAATTAAAATCTGATTAAAACTTTCTGAATCATAAAAAAGAGAATTCACTAATAAACAAATTATAGAACTAGGTACACAGGGGGAAGGTAATATAATTTCTTTGTATGAACAAAGAAAGAACATATAATCAAAAAACAATAGGGTGTGTAAAATGTACATAAATAGAAAAAAAGTGTCATCAGGAATCAAAGACAAGTTAGGCAGGAAAAAATGGGGAATTAATGCTCTATTAATTCCAATGCTGGAGGAATAAAAACACTGGCTGCACTGTGATATTCCATCTAAATAGATTGAAAGGCTGGCAAACTTATCATCACAACTGGAGTTTTTGAAGAAATCAACACGTGCTCTACCTCTGCAGAACTGGTAGTTGTCCCGTCTCTGAAAAGGAAAGTGCTGCAGGGAAATTGTGAAGAATTTTAAATGTCCTATCTTCTACAATGTAACCACTTGTTCAGTGGTTTATGCTCTGAAGTATGAAGACGAATGTCTTTTTAAGGTATACAAAAATAGGTACTATAATTGTACACTTCATTTACTTATAAACTTTAGCAATTATACATGTTTTTACATGAAGCATATATTATACAGTCCTATAGGGTCTGACAGGAAGTTTTTGTGTCAGTTGAAAGTGAATCCAAGTCAATTGATTCTATATAGAAATGTCCTTTGAATATTTCAAACAGGAATAGTTTAGTATGGTAGCAGATGCTTTATTAACTAGCACACTTTTAAGAAAATTCCAACCTATGTACATGTCTCTTTCAGGTTTCTGTTCCAGGGCTATTTATAAAGTCCTAAAAGATTATTTTCTGACATTTTTACTATGTGTTACTATTATAGTCATGGAGTGACCTTTTGTCCTCCCAAGAAAGGATAATTAGGAACCTCAAATGACTTTCTTTATTCTACTCAATATTTGTCTAACTAACCTTCTATTTTTCACTGTTCCTAATGTTTTTAGTCTCTCCCTATACAGTGGCTCTACCATGCCCCTAATTTTTCCTCCACTGTTCTCTCCACATATTTTGCTCTGTCAGTATGAAATAAGGTCACCTAAACCTTGGCTGTTTTCAAAGTGTAGATGCATAACCCCATTATGACATTACTTTTGGGAATTTTTCTTTTCTTTCCTTTGAAATACAGGAACCATCATAAATGGCCATCATTTATTCAGAGTTCATCTGACACTATCTTAAATGGTGGAACAAGAATGCACTGCTTGGAAGACTAAAAAGGAATTTTAAACTACTAAAATAATACCTCTACAATTAGTAAATTTGACATCTTAAATCTTAATCCCAAACTCCCAGAATCTCTGGATAGGTTACAGAATAGGCGTGTAGAAAAATTAGCTTTGATCATACAGTAAGGTGCCACTTTAATGCACTCAGGTCATCCTTACCTTTTTATATAAATGTTGGTTTGCATCAGAAGTCTCAGTAGCCCTCCAAAAGGATGAACTTCTTTTTGTGACCTGACTGGTAACCAGGTTCCTTCCTTGAACCAGATTAGGGAATATGTACTCGAACACTGAATCCCACTTCAGTGAGCTGAGCTCTTACACAGTGAGGCTCTCCTGACTAAACTATTCCATATTTTGGGGATGTCTTATCTATAATCAAAGCACAGAGTAATATGATCTCCTATGTTTTGAGTTGAGGCCAAAGGTTCACAGAGGAAACATTTTACAAACCCAGATGCCACAGCAGCTGAACTTTATGTCATCTTAACCGAGCTGAGGCACTGGATGTTTGGGAAGAGGAGGCATACTAACAGTATCTGAAATGGAGCATCAAACAGCGGGCACCAGTCATGTGAAAGAGGAGGCCCCAAAGAGATATGTTTTTCTATGAAAAGAAGATTGGAGTGAAAGTCTTTATATAGAAATCACATTTGATGGAGGGGGAAGGGAAGAAAACAAGGTTCCTGGCTGAATTTGCTAGGAACCCAATGTGCTGAAGTCAATGATATTTTTCTGTACATTTTTTGCCTGTGGACAGCCTTATGTCTATAAAATGGAGATAAATTATAAACAATTACAATTCAGTTTATACTATCTCTAAATTGTTATTGGTTTTATGAATAGTTCAATGAAAAACAAGTTTAGATAATCAAATTAAATTTGTACTTTTGATTTGGATTCAGACATATTACCATGATGCTACTACCAATGATCCTTCAGAGTCTCCACTACATATGGGAGGTATGCTGTGCCTAGGACGGAAACACACAGCACATCAAGACAGCAAGGACTGGCTTCATCTTGCCAGTTACATGTACTATGAAGGGCCCTACTCATTCAAGCATAAACTAAGCCTTGAAAACTTTGGTTGTTTTGAGTTTGACCACACTCATATACAGGATCTTATTTAGCCCACAGTCAAATGCAATCTTTGAGAAAAGCCTAACACTTTATTACTTTTTATCAAAATTATAGGAAAGGATTTACTTGGTGATGTAGACCAGGGTATTTAGAGATGAGGAGTATGTCTACAAGAAAATATAAAAGTTTGAGGGGAAGGGGTAAAGAAAAGAAAAACTTTTGAAGAACTTTTCTGCCTCTTCCACAAACAAAAAGAAACAAGAGTTTTGTGGATTAGTTTCAAGAAAAAACTCTGAATAAATTATATTTATTCCCTGTTTCTTTTCTCTATATTAAAAAATGGTTTAAGAAAAATGCAAAAGAGGCTCTTATACTTTTTACCTGGTTGGGATGGGGACTTCAGCCAGTCCTTGAAGCAATACAGCTGGAGACAACCTGACAAACGCAACTACAGTTCGATCCAAAAACTCCAACTCCCCCACTAAGATGTTTGAAGCTTCAGCACCTGGAGGAATCTTTTTCATAAAGTGCAGATCAACCTGTAAGTGTCACGAAGTAAGAAAAGATAAATCAAAGTTGGAAAAATTTGTTCAATTGTGAACAGTGCTTCACATATGGTAATCCATCAATATAGTTTTAATAAATATAGGTTATATAAATATACTACAAATAAAATTTTTTAAGTAGTTAAACATGTCTTTTGCCCTTTAAAAATATCTTTATTTCTTTACCTGTGTATTTTCCTAATTTGTCATCAATAAACTGAATAGTCTAGTTTCTCTATTCAATATCTCTAAAAGAAACTTCTTCAGTATCAGCAATCTTGGAATTTTCAGGAAGAAAAGAGCATGCACTCAATTAAGTTAATATACTTTAATCATAATACAACTAGGATTTTCCAATAGATTTAAATATTTTATGTTACATTACCTGAACTTTGTGCACAATACATTTTAATTAATAAATACTCAAAATATGCATATTCAAAGGAAATATAAACACAAGTGTCCTTACAGAGTTAATTATGACTTTCGTCTTCACCTTTATTCCATATCCTTCACATTCTATACTTAGCCTGATCATTCTTCAATTTTAATTTCTCATCAGAGAATTTAGATACAGCAAAGTAAACAAGAATGAAAATATTAACATTTGTTGTGGCTAAAGAGCCATAGTTGAATTTCTTGATATGAGATGTCTATGATTGAAATGAATGCACACAAAACAAAAGTGATCCTTAACAAGAGAAAGTGCTTAGAGTAAAGGGTGAGGACTGAAAAATGAACGTTAATGTTCTTAAGAGTAAATACTACTTGTTATGCACAGGGCCTCAATGCAAACCAAGCAGTGACTTTAAAATCAATTTTACACAGCCTGTTTCTTGTTTCTAATTCATTTGAGTTGCTTTTTATGGAAATCACTTTGTAGGGAATCTTGGGAATAAGATTTTTATCTGCTGTAGTGATTGATTTTATGTGTTTGCATTAATGAAATGGGGGCCAAAGATCAAAGTGGGAATAGCCTAGGGAGAGAGAGAAAAGAGCTCTGGCAAACAGAGATGGGATAGAGATTTTTTTTTAAGACTAGATAGTTCTTTTGCAAGTTTAATACTTTGAGAACAATTTTTCCAAGAAGTTTAAAATGAAAATAATTAAACCTCTTAAGAGTACCTTAGAAAGTTCATAGGCTAGACTTTAAGTGACTACATTAAATATTCTGCTTTCCAAAATCAAGACCTCAGCACAAGTATTTAGAAGGCTTATAACTACATAATTTATCTGTAAAACAAAGGTATCACAAACGATAAAACCCATTATGTGGAGCTTACATTTTATCCCAAGGAATATAAAAATAATCTATAGTACTCCATTAAAATATCCAACGAAACCAACGTTCTATTTTAAAGAAAAAATGATTTAACAAAGCAAAACTGCCTGTAAAAATTATGACAAATATTTTAAAATTCCAAAGTCTTCATCTATAAATATATTTCCAAATACACATTTGTAAACCCATAAAGCACATACCTTGGGATATTATATGTAAGTATTTTCATCTTATAGAATCTAACCTTTTGATTTAAAGACACAAAAGTATTTATTTACCTTAATAATAGAAGGCTAAAATTTATAGGAATTATTATCATGTCTTTGTATTTCTTTTTCTAGTTAGGAGAAATGCATATGTTGAAATGTTTTCAATTACTAATGCTTTATAACTTCATTATAAAGCATAAATTCTCAAGAAGGGAATAAATTACCTATACATTATTAGCCTTGTGAAAAAACATAATAAATCTTCCTAAGTCTTTCAGAGCTTACAAGAGTAAAGAATTAAGTTTTCCCACCAATGTCAAAAACAATTATGCAATGTTAATATACTGGAACAAAATTTAACATAAAAAATAGCTTTTTAGGAAAATCTATAATCGATAAACAATATCAGTCATAATGATAACACCTTTGGTGACTTTAATGAAAAGTCTAAATTCCAATTGAAAAACTTTCTATAAACTCATTTGTTGCTTGAAAAGTGCTATAGTCTTAACTATTGAAGCCTGTGCCCTAGACAGGTGGCAATTATACAAACAACTGCTTTAAGATGTAACTTAATTAAATCAAGAAGTACATAGTGTGCTAAAATAGTTTAATTTTATAAAAGGAAATATATAGTCTTTAAACATGATTTTATTTTTGTATTACATAATTCCTGATATATAAATAATTCACATACATGATTTAGAAAAGGCATTAAATACAAAGAATTTTCAGGATTAACAAATTTATCTTTTTACCTTAAATATAATAAATTATAGTTAAATAATAGACATGTGGAATAACCATTATATTACACCCATTATAGTATATTATTCTTGAAGTAGTTATATATTTGGGAGGGTAACAGATTATATAATATATTATTTAATTATATTACTATATTGCAATTATATATTATTCCTGGGGCAGCTCTATATTTTTGCATGTATATTAATATATAATTCATAAAAATCCTTATTTGGCAATATAGCTACCTTTTAATACAACAAAAAGTCACATTTAAGGACAATAATTTGACCTGTAATACATTTATTATTTACAGGAACAATAATTGAGGAAGGAACTAGGTTGAATGCATCCCTAAGACAATCCTCAAGTAGATTAAAACACTTGGAATGAACATAAAGAAAGCCTGAAACTTTCTGCTCTAATGAATAGGACCTTAAAGAAATCAAGGTATACTCTTACAGATTGGGATTTATACCCCTGGTCCTGAGCTCTTCAGAACTTTCTGCTAAGAAGAGAAAGATGTTTCATTCTGGGCATTTGGTGCTCCGGTTGTGGGTGAGAAACAGTTATATCTCCAGGGAACAAGGTTAGACAGAAGATGGTGGTGGAACTGGGGATGTCTGGACAAACTACACACTGAGATGTGAAGGAAAAACAGATAGGACTTCAGGGGAAAAGTTTGTCTTAAGCCCATTACGGAAAGTACAAAAAAAATCAATAGGGGTTCTCTGGGGAGAAATGGTGCTGTGACACCAACAAGCCAGTGATCTTAAGCAGCTGTATTAAATCTCTCTGGGATTCAGCTTTCTCACCTTCTCAATAAGAAGGTCTCTAAGTTTTCCTGGAGTTCGTGGATTTAACAATAAAACCCTTTATACTATGTTTCACATACTCAGGATAGATGCAGAAGGAAGTTCTTTCTACATAGAAAATAATGTGAAGTTTTCTTTGGATCATTTGAAATAAAAGAAATACCACCAACAGTTGGGAAATACCAAATTAACCACCCTCTCTGCAAGTTGGTTTGAAAAATGAAGACATAGAGTGTTTTAACACATCTGCTTTTTAAAAACATTACAGAAAGTGACAACCTGACAACTTAGATTATATTCATAAGCATTCCTAAATTAGGCAGTTTGATGGGCCTATCCATTGAAAGGGTTAAAAAATGTAGATTGAATGTAGATAGACTATAGGATTAAGTCGCTTGAAATGAATACACTTTTTTTACCCTTAACGTCTCAAAATTCTACTGGGGTTTAGAAACTACATGTAAAAACTGAAAATATTTAAATGGACAAAGTAACCTGGAGACTAGCTGAGCTGTGTTAAAATTTACTACCAACTGAAATCATTAGGCTAAAAAACCTTCTCTTACGTACCTGTAAAATTTGGCATGAAATTTTATTTCCATAATGATAGATCAATCATGTTTGTTCTTTTCAAGCCCTACTGCTCTGCACTTCTGGGTTATAAAGTAATTAGTGTTACTTGATTATTCAAAAGCATCCCCAAACTAAGTGCTTAAATTATTTTGAATCTCACAGAATTCATTCAATGGTACATCCCAAATACTGTACAAGGGACTAGAGATCTAGTGGAGACTAAATCATATTAGATTCTGGTTCAGTATTTGTTTTTGACATTATACCCACTAATAATAATAATAATAGTAATAGCCACCTTGTATTGAATGTCTGCTGTATTTTCAGCACTCTGCCAGGCACTCTATATATTTCATTTGATTTTTACAATATAGCTATAAGTAGTATTATTACCCTTATTTTACAAATGAGAAAGCTGAAGTTCAGAGACATTCTTCAAGGTCAGATAGTTTATAAATGCAAGAGTTAGGATTCCAGATCTCAAGCCCTTTCTCAAAAGCCATATTCCCTCCAATGTGCAAGCCTGTGGATGAGAGACTGAGGAATATAGAGGGTTGGCACGGCATGCAGGGCTCTAGAAATTTAACTTGCCTATTATAAAATGAAATCGACAAGTAGTTGTAAATGCAATAGGAAGAAGAGGATTAAAGGAAAGAAAATCTGTTTTTCACTCTTCTGTAGTCAAACTGTTTTAGGGAACATAATGATAAGACTACTGTCTTCAAATGGCAAAATTTATTTTCTTTCAAATATAATGAAGCATTTTTGAGGCTGCTAAAGAAAGATCAGACAACTCAAAGCAAAACTGTATAGAGATATAAAGTTCAATGTGAAAGGGTTATATTCTTTTTTAAAAAGGTTAAATAGTAATTTAGTTGAAAGAATTTGATTTATTATCATTGTTTTTGAGAATGTTAAATATGCTCATGGTATACTGTTAATGCCTACATAAATAAATAAGCAATTTCTTATGTCACTGCTTTTAAGATATTATTTCAAATGAAGACTATCAGAAAATAAATGTATGGCAGTTTGCAACAATTTTATTCCAACTTAGAGATGAATGAAGATGTAATGTTTTAAAAAGATATTTTTTTGGAACAGCAAATGGATTACATTTGAACTGGCTTAATGTTTGAATCACATGCCTCCACGCAGTGAAATGAGCTTTGACCCATCGTAGAAACACAGCCCGAGTATGCCCTCACCTCTCTCTCTTGCTGGTGTGGAGGTCCTTTTTCTTGCCTTTGTTTCATCCCACATGGACTAGTATGCCCCTTTTGTTGGCCTCCCAGTCCCTGCGCGCATAATTAACAGACTTAAGCTGGTACACTGTGTTCCCACAGAGACTCCACCAGGCACCAGAGGGAGAGCATGCACATGACCAGACCTAGACCACTTAGGCTTTGGCAGAGAGATTCTGAAACAGCAACGAGGAGCTGATTGCTATTATACTTTTCAGAAGCTTGAGGCAGTCAACTTCTACTGCTGCCTCCCATTACCACCTCTTCCCGCTGTTACATTCATCGCCAGTGCTAAGGGCTTTATGGAGGGGAAAACACTTTGAGTTACTACTGTTTCAGCCACTCAGATAAAGAAAATTGTTGACCCACTTCATTGTGGGTCAGTATTGAAACTCCTCTTTCCTGTTTAAGTGTTAGTTTGCCATAGCCTACAATTGCACATATAATACGTCAGAAATTTGCTAGCCAAAATTACATTATTTTTACAGAATAATTTAAGTAAATGATTTCATTTGAATTAGCTCTAATTAAATATATCCCTCAAGAGCCCATCTTTATTATGCTTTTATTAGAAACTTTGCTCAGTTCCACTATGTTCTAGTGTGTTCCTACACTAATGCCTTTCTCTGAACTGTGACAATGAAAACTTTATATGATTTGCTTTTCCATAGAGGAAAAAATAATTTTGAAAAAAATAGACAGATATTAAATAATAAACTTCTGTTAAATTAGCTATGAAGTCCAGTTATTCTTTTTACTGGAAGAGATATATTATACTGAATGGCTCATACCTAAAGACTACGCATAAAACTTACACATTTGGTTTTATGAACAAGTAGAATGTTACATGTGAACTTAAATGCTAACACTATAACAACAACATCCTGCTTTGGCTAAGTAACAAAGACTGTGCATGCAAAAAATTGTGTCAACACCTCTTAAAGTGTGTAGTAGTTTCCAGTAATAATACTGTAGCTTACTTAAATGAGAGAGAGAGAAACTTACCTTGCTAAAGTCAACAGTGCTGTTTTCTCTGCTCACATCATTTTTATTTTCAACAGAGGCTGGAGCAGACTGTGGAGAAACAACCTGACCTGCTAAAAGAGATAGTTATTATAGAATACAAACAATTAGTTACATAATTCCAGACATATTGAATGAAATATGAATTAAGCTAAACTAATGTAGGTTTCTTAATGAGTTTATGAGGTAAGCACGAAGGGTCAATATAACTAGATCTCTATCAATAAAAATATTTTCATTTATCAGTTACAGATAGAAATAGGAGAATTCAGTCAAGAAGAGATAAACAAATTCTCAAATTAAAACTAATTAAGTAGATATTTCTTATTTAGAAACATGACCTACAAAAATTTTAAAACTAATTATGATTTTGAAATATCATTAATTTTTACATTTCATCCAATACTGATTTTTATATATTTTTAAAAGATAAGATAGGCATCTTATCTGTTATAATTTAAGCTTAGACTGAAGAATTTAAAATGCATAGTTTTTAAAATGGGTAAATATTTATCTGAAAATTACACAGCATATTTATAGCTTCTATTGCATCTGAAAAAAAACAAGCTAATGAGAAAAAACACTTTGACCATAACTTTTAGAGATTTCCATATGAAAGCTTCAGTTAAAAATGCCTGTACCTCACACAGTATGAAAACTATGAATATGATTTTATGCTTTCACTATTTTATTGTATAAGCATACAAATATAGGTCTGCAGAGAAAAGATCAATAAACTTGAATTGTATTAATTTTCCATTAACACTAACCAGAAACTTAATTACTTTGTCACCTTTCCCCAATTATAGGGAAGATTACGAGGTTAAGTGGGCAGTAGAGCTGGGAAGGTGACAATGGCTAGCAAAGGATAATTAAGTTTCATTATTCACTAATTATGAAACATTTTTTAATTGCAACTATCTGTAAGCTCTCCTTGTTTAGCAATTAAATGATAAAAATTAATGAGGTTCACAAAATTTCACATATTTCTCTTCTTCCTTAACCTCTCCCCACCCTTTTCTTGTGAAATGAGTGACAATGACCCCTCTTTAAAGCCATGACCATATTTACCATAATCGACTCCAAACTACTGCTCTTACTGTCATCAGTCTTATATGTCAGGAATATACTCTCTTGGGTCTGCCTCATTCTTCTCCATATCCACCTACATTTCAACTGGATTCAAAGTTCACCTTTAGTCTCACCTCCAGTTACTTCTGTCTGTACTCATCTGAACTTCTCTGAACTACTAATGCATCTACGAATAAAACCATTTCTTTAAATTTTCTCCTGAAATCCTATTTATTCATTGCTACCTAGAAATTACCAACTACCCTGGCTGGCATAGCTCAGTGGATTGAGCGCAGGCTGCGAACGAAAGCATCACAGGTTCGATTCCCAGTCAGGGCACATGCCTGGGTTGCAGGCCACGGCCCCCAGCAACCGCACATTAATGTTTTTCTCTCTCTCTCTTTCTCCCTCCCTTCCCTCTCTAAAAATAAATAAATAAAATCCTTTTAAAAATCTTAAAAAAAAGAAGAAATTACCAACTATGATTTAAAACACTAATTTACTTTTAAATATTACTAGAATTTTGCTTTGTGCACCATTAAGCTTCTCAGGGGTCATTCATTAATAGATAACATTTTTTTATGTTTTAATATTGTTATATTGCCTGAAAGTAATGGGCTTAAGATTCTTCTAGAACTGAAATAGTCTTTGCTTTCACTAAACAAAGTAAAATAATACATTTGGTGAAGATTTTTAAAATTATTTTTAAAGAAAATTTGCCTTTAACCACATACATAAATTCTGATGACAGCATATTCCAAATTACGTATATAAACTTTAGAGCAACACCAGAGTTAAGCAGAATAATCTCTTTTCATTCTCCCATTTCTAACTGCGATGTGCAGCTATGACTGTGCACTGTTCATTAGCAGCCATTTATCGTTCTCAAAATAATAACTGTAATTTTAAAAAAATCTTTTACATAATGCATTTGTGCTACAAACAGATGTCTTCAATCACCAGTTTCACATCATTCTCCATATTTTCATAAGTTAGAACATTAGATAGATTTAAACCTAAATTTTCTGAGTGTTCTGTAAAATTGAGTGTTGAAATTCAAAGCATGAAAAAAATTAAATAAACATATAATGTGCTTTCTTGTAATAATGTATTTCATGTGGTATAAAACTACATGGAAACCAATTATTTAATTCAGTCAGAAAAAAACACAAAAATGAGTCAATCTGATGCAAAGTAATAACTTCAAAGAAATTTAATTATAGAGTATGCTATAATTTAAATTGAAAAAACTAAATACCTTATGTTTCCATAAATATTCTTTGAATATAGAACATTTCACAAATTAATTTCAGCCTACCTGATATGTTTGCAGCATTGGTACTTGGATTTGCCTTGTGAATATTAATGTATTTTGAGGTTTATAGTTCTATGAAATTCTTGTTACAATATGATGAAAATTTTACACAATATTACCTCATAAAGCTGAGAATTAGGAAGGGATTCGAGCCTATTTTCTATGAGTATTTTAAGTGATATGGATATTGACCTAGTGGAGAGTACTTAACTAGCAGGAAACACACTAAATGGTAGTAAATCCTTGATTCTTTTGGATTTTAAATATGTACATAGACTATATGTTAATACGGAGGAAGAATGCACAAAAACTACCAGACTATAATACAGATATATAAAACACAAATTTGGTATCTCATTGATCAGCAGTAATAGTTAAATAACAATAGTAAATATTAGTAGTTAAAATATTTAATCACATCAAATGGCCTGCAAAGTTTAAAGAGTGCTCCAAAACTTATTTTCAATATGTATATTAATTTGTTAAAATGAAAAAATACACATTAAATGTGTACATCTTTAAGGTAGTATCTGAAAACTTGGCAGGATACAGAAAAGTGTACAGGTAATACAATTTTAAAATTAAACCGATAATTTTGGTTTGGGTTACTTTGGAAAAACTTATAATTTTTTAAATAAAGCTTAAAATTTTACTACCTATCTATCCAACTAAAATCCCCACATGAATTATAGTCTATCAACTACTGGAAATCTCATAAATTAGAATATTTTTTATAATTCTGTCATCAATTATAATCTTTATCTGTCTAAATACTAATTTCTTTAGATTATTTCAATTATCACTGTCTTTAAAAAAAAGGTGATGAGTCTGAATTTCAAAATGACTTTCATTACCTCAAATACTATTACATAAAAAGAATCAGTAAATTTAGGTTTTAAGAGAGCACCCTTTATTTTCTCACTGATGTCTAAAACAATAGTAGTTCATAGAATAACAGTTTTCAGGTAAGGACTTTACCTTCAAACAGAAGTGAATATGTTTTCTAAAAGAATAACAAAGGATTTGCTAGAGTATTTCCCCCTCCAGGACAAAATAGCATGAAGTTAGGATTTAGCACTCACATATATGTGTGGAAGCTTTATAAATGCTAATTTTATGATAATTTGTCTAATTACTAGGCCACAATGCTTAAGAACATACATTTTTTTGTCTACTTTCTTGCATGACCCTCATTTCACACACAAATCACTGTTCATATTAACATATCCCATAAGTAAATGTCATTGCAATGTTTACTCACATCTGTTATTAGCATGAAGATGACTATTCAGAAACAATGAAAAAATACTAACTTAATAACCTTATTACATTCAGGGTAAATTATTCTAAAACTGGTGAAAAATGGACACCATTGGTAAGAACTGGGAAGAGTTCATGACTATTTAAGTGTATACATTTGAGAAACCTAACATAATCCTACATATTTATCATATGTATTTGTTTTTCCAAACCTTTAAATTCAAAGAGTCCACCATTTTTAATGTTATCCATTTTAATATGTCACATACCTTATCAATTAAAGTGCACATTATGTAGTATTCATATTAGCAACTGCTTGAATAAATTTTCCTTCGAATCATGAATTCAGTTTTTTCCTCTAGATCTCCATGTAGGGATCACATATCAGTCAGATAAAAAGTTATTATAGACCAGTAATTTTTCCAAGGCAAATCAGGAAAGATGTGGGGCAAGCACAGGAGAAGCCTGAGAGTAACTCAGGTGGCTACTATCTAGGAAATGGAAGCTCTGCCTTTCTCTTGCAACTGCACACATTTTTTAGAGGTTCACTGTGAAACTGGCATAGACATTTCTCTTATTGTCAAGTTGTAGGGGGTAACATGAGAGTATGCCAGAAGTACTAATTTTACTCTAAGTAATATCAGTATCATTAAAACACCTTATTGAAACACAAAGGTAAAATACATTGTCAAAAAATCTTTAAGTATTATATTCATACATTTAAGTCCTTACCTATAGTCTCCTTCTTTAAATAAGTTATATACATAACTATTGTAAAACAGCAGCTTTTAAACTTCTATTTGGCCAAATTCAAATCAATAGGTGAATAATATATTACTTAAGGTATATCATTATTTGATTCTGCTTAACATACTGAAAATCATGTATAATAGAAGGAAACTGGGATGAAGACATGGAGGTACATTACTAGTATCCTAGAGACCAAGCTGGTTTACACTACCTCAGAAAACTTCAACGCATTTAGAGTACCCAAAGGGTAGGAGATGAGGGAGGTACAGAGATGAGATGAGCCTGTTAGAGACAGACACAAGACACAGCAAAATAAAGAAATATAAAGATGAATGACAAAGTTACATACATGTGTAACAATACATTAATTTATGGGAATAGAAAACATGAAGGAAAACCTAGATATTTAGAAAGTGGTAAGTGAGCCACACTTCACAAACATAAAAAGTATGCACATATTTAAACCTGGAAAAATTATTATGCCTGAAAATAGTTAATGTAACATAAGAAATAACAAATTTAAACACATCATACTAGAAATATTTTTGCCATTAAAAATCTAATCTTGGCATTCCAAAACTCAGTAGCCATAACACAGCCTCTAAACAGACCCATTGATTGTGTCAATGATTTCATCCTGATATTTGGGAAACAATGGAAAATACCTTCATTATGCAATATTTAATTCTCTCATCTAAATGAATCTTTTACTATCACTTGAATCTTTTCAAGTGATTCTAAGATTTGTTATTATAGCTTTTTTCTTCAAGATAGAATATTATAAGGGATAATCTTTAAAGTCTAGGTATCTTACGATACCACAGTGGTTAAAAAAATAAGAAAGCATATAAATACTAAACACGCATAAAAACATCATGTTTCTGAAAATAAAAAGTCCAACATTTATAAAAGTAGTGATTACAAGCCAATAAAAGTGACTTCCAAATGCCATAAATGAAAATCATCTGTCACCCATACACCTACATCGCTGTACAGGCTGGAGTGTGTGGGGTCTGAAGAGCCAGTACATGCCCCATCCTTCCAAACCTGAATGTTCTCCCATAACCTGAGGCTCTGAAAGTAAGTCAGAGACCTCCTGCTTTTTAATTCCTTCTGAGATCTTAAATAAAAGGTACAACTGGAAAGTGTTCAGAATAGAAAGGAAAAAAATATCTGAAGAAAAAGAATTCAAGTTAGAATTATCAATAAAAGACCCAGTGGAATGAAGATACCCTACACCTAAGAAAACTGATTCCTAAATTATTTTTTAAATATAAACTTTATCACTAAAGTAATAATATTTTATAATAGAGTTGTAATCTAAATGTCTCAAGATATAATTGCATGCATGACCTAAATGACACATACAAATACTGATATATTTTTTCTAGATAATTTAACATAGAAGTCTTATATTTATTTTTAGAAAATCCTCCTAGTTTCAAGGAATTATTTGAATATTCTTGATAAATTTATTTTGATAATTTTCTACCCATATCCTTTACAAGTTCTAAGGTTAAAGAAGACATTATTTTCCTATTACTTTTTGCTGTTGTTTTGCCGAAAGTAACTGTCATTTTTTATTGAAACAGAATCAGACATTTAATTCTCACAGTTTTGATGCCTAATGAAAAGTGAAAGTTAAACACAGCATGGTGGCATGAAATATGCATGGTGAATCCATAGTATTCTGCATCTTAGCCCTTAAGAGAATGTGCTGAACACCAAGAAAACAATTACACAAAAAAAACTAGTGTAGTATTTGGAGATGACATTGAATAAATTATCACAAATCACTAAAAAAATTGAACAAAATATTTTAGACTTCAGAAGGAGAGAAGCAAGGAAATTACTGCCTTACAAATATATAAAACCTATACTGGGAATAACCCATATTTGAAATTCAGATTGACTTATCTAAATGTTTAAACCTTGGGACTGCTACCCAAGGTAGCATGCTAAAAGAACAAGTCAATTAAGAAAGTAGAAACCTTATTCTATATCATTCTTTTAGACTTATTTACGTAAGAATCAGTTCATTCTTGAGGGAATTCTTATTGCTTTGCCTCTAAAATAAAAGTATATCAGAGAGGGGTTATTTCTATCCTATGCTTGGGAAGAAAAATGTTTTCTGTTTTCAAGTTTCTAGAAAATCTTCACTCTAATCCCTAGTCTATAATCTTAAATGAAAAGTCAGTCTTTTTACATGAAATCCTCTACTGAAAGGATTTTTCCTTTTAAATATTTTATTGTTTGTGCTATTACATTTGTCCCAATTTTTGCCCCTTTGTTCCCCTCCACCTAACCTGCCCTCACTCCAACAGTCGATCCTCACACTGTTGTCCATGTCCATGTCCATGAGTCATTCATACATGTTCTTTGACTAGTCCCTTCCCCTTCTCTCAACCAGTCTCCCCTCCCCCTCTCCTCTTACTGCTGTCATCTCACTTATAAATGGAACCTGAAGATAATTTTTAAATAGTAAGAATATTATTCTATTTTATACATTTTAAAATCTATTTGCATCTCTCTGTACTACTGCACAAAAAATTTAAATCTCTATTGCATATTTTGAAACAGAATCCATAAATCTATGTTGATGTCTATGAATTTTGATGTTTATTTATCTAGAGTTTGTCAGTTCATAAACAGATTGAGAACCTTAGTAATAAAGGTCTTTCACACTTTATTCACTTCTGGACAGATTTAATTCTAAATTGGTGAAGTCTATACATATTTTCAGAAGTCTCAATATACATATTTATGCAAAGTATGTGAGGAAGCAAAACAGAGTCATAAGGAAGTGTTATCAAGCCTAGACTTAGAAGACCACTTTTGACAGCATAGTCTACAACGATATTTAATTGGATGTATGAATCTTATTATAAATGCTTCCAAGTTTTTATTACTCTAAAGTACGCCTCAAAAGGATCTGTATATGTTCAGATAAAGGCTGATTGTACAGAGGTGACAGAATCACTTCAGAATTACTCACACTCTAGTTTTCAGAAAAAGTAAGCAGTTGTCTGAGCAAGACAAAAGACATGTTTTCAGAAAATTTTCTATTTGTATATTTCTATATGTCAACTTGTGATTCAAGTCTATAATTCCATCAGTTCTTTCTATATTTAACAGAAGTTTAAAGCAGTAACAAGTAGTGTGTCCAGGTTTATATGATATGATAATAAATGTCTCATATAGTAAATTTAGCACATTCTTTCCTTCAAGAACTTAATGAAATAAATTATTTTATAGCAAATATTATCCCCAGTGAAATTTGAGATATAAATTATGGCTAGTTCATAGCCCAAGATCCTTGCATCTTTGAGTACATGTGCATCCTTAATGTAGACATATATTTTATTGTCTGCTTTCCAGTGTAAGTAATGAAGTGAAGACACGTGTTTATTTCTTTTTAACATTCTTGCATTCACCAAGAGTTAATTCATTGGGGGAGTATTTTAATAAGGTTTTTGGAATCATGTGGACATAAGCCCATAGTCAAAATTAGTAAAATATCCAAGTCTGTTTTCTTAATATTATCACGCCAACTAAACACTAATATTGCAAGAATAGTAAAACTACTACATTTGGTACATTGTCTTGAAATATGAGAGCTACATTTTGTTATTTTATATATATATCATATTTTAAAGCAAATTATGACTTAGAATATGAATGCATTTTAAATATATGAGATAATACAAAGCAAGTTATAAATTCTAAAGATGTTCAGTGGAATTTACAAATACAAGTTGGAGTAAACCATAAAGTGCTTCTAACACTTCTTTGAACTTATAAGCACAACTATAGACTCTTCTGTATAATGATGATTTACATTCAGTCATTGAAGAGTCTTTAAAAAATCAAATGAGTCTTTCAAAAATAATTTTCCATTAAAAACTGGTTCTATGTTTTGAGACAATAGTACCATCTTCATTGATTTATTAAAATATTTATTCTACTTGTTTGTGTATTATATTTGATTCAGTAATATGTAAACTGATAAAAATTGCCATATAATGCAAAGTCTGAGGAAAATTCATGTTCAAGCATTTGTATTTAGGGCATTGCCAAAGCATGAAAATAGTAATGAAATTACATAAAATAATCCAGGCTGACAATACATATAATTTAGCCCACTTGTAGAAATCAGAATCTTTCTAGTAAAGCATTTGAAATTACATTTTATGATTTATCTTTTAAACTTAGAAAATTTCATAGCCAATAGAAGTTTAACAATTCATATTATCCTCATGTAACTTCATTTTCCTTCATAAGACTAATGGAAAGGATAGATAATAAGAAGAAATTCATAAGCAATTTCCTTAATGTAAATGATGAAGGGCCAAATGGATACAAGAAGGAACAAAATACACAGGGAGGGTAAAACAGTGTGAAGCAGAACCATAAGGAATAAGTCATGATTGCCAGAAAACAATGGTTGTTGTCTTTGGTATTTGCATGTGGAGATGGTAAGTGAGGTGGCCCTATGGATGTTGAAGATCCAGCAGTGCAAACAGCAATAAGCCCATGAACTGGAAATTAGGATTAATGTATGCAGAGCCACAGCAGTGTACTAGCTAGTCTTTTCAATTGTATTCTCTAATGGAATTGTTGACTACGAGCAACATGAAACCAGTATATTTTTTCCATAAACACTAAATAATGATTATATTCATTTTAACTCTAGGACTGTAAGTCAAAGCATTACATTGCATTCTCAAACTATGAGACAAAGACTAAGACTTGTTTGGGTTGCAACTAACTCAGTTATGTTTGGTACCTTCTATAACTTGGAGTCTATAACTTCTTATTAGATAAAAGTTTCCCTTGCATTCTTTCATAAACCTTTTAGGAAAATTAAATTCTAGTTACAATTTTTACAATCCGATGCTTGATAATAAAACTCCACACACACAAACATATACACATATGATATACGAAAAGAAGCAATTTTACAACAATCTAAATTTCAATAGATCAGTTTCAAATAAAATATATTTTAAAGGATTTAGAAGCACCTTGATATTTCAGACACCTATATAAACATAAAGAGTAAAATAAAGAAACATTTACCATTTTTATCCATGGAATTTGGTTCTGATTGTTTCTTGCCAATATCAGCAAAGGAACGAACAATGGGGATTCTATTGGTGAGTTTTTTCTGATTCTGGTGGTGATGCTGTTTCATCAGTGCTTCGTGGACTCTGTGGCGCACATCTTCATTGAGCTGACCTGAGCTCACTTGTTGGTCAAGGACCATATCTGAAGAGGGAAGGCAGGAAGATTAGCACTGCTTTCCTGTAGTGCACCAGCCGGGAACCACCGTGTCTAACGTCCGTCCTCTAGATAATATTATACATCTTCAATTAGAAATGCATTCTTTAAAAATCCCTTAGAACTTTGTGGAACTGTTGCACAACAAAGGCTTGGGGAAATTTATATTACAAATCATTCCATTTTAAATATGTAATGATCTTATAGAATATTATATTCAGACAGATATATTATTAATATGGTCTTTCTCCCTTTTTTAGTAGAGAAAAACTTCCATGTTTCTTCTTTCAGTGAACAAAAGTCCACCTGTAAAAATCTGATGCAGGAAGGCTTAGAAGAGTGTCTAGTTAGTTTCATCTGAAGAGTAAAGAACTCTTTCACACTGATATAAAGTCAGCCTTCTCAAACTTTCCTTGAAAACATGTTTATATTAAAAAGGCCTTCTATAACCATAAATCAAAGTATAAAAGGAAGATTTCAGAAGGCTATAATTAAGTAGATTAATATTTATCATATGGAGTGTCAGAAATACCTATAAAATAAGTAAGTAAATAAAAGCATTTTAAGTTTCTTGGTAATACAAAGATCATCTCATGAACCCTAGTAATCTGCTTTTAGATTATCAAATATTAACTCTATTTGATTTTTTTGAGACACTAACTCCTTATTTGAAGCAAGCAGATCACAATGAATTACCTTCCACTGCCCCACTGAACACACTAAAGATCTGAAAATTGGCAGAATTCTCCATTATAAACAATGCTTTTCTTCCATGTGAAAGGGAAATGGACTAGGGAAATAGATTTGGGTCATTGTACCACATTCTAGCTGTGTGGCCCTGTAAAGCTGAATAGTCTCAAGGTCTTTACTTGTAGGATAGAAATACTATCTATCTCACATGTTGTTGCCAGGACTAAGAACATAATGCACTAACTGGAATATTGAGGCCATCGGTAAAAAAATCCCAGTACAAAATTTTATTTGCAATTTTCATTAAATAGGTTATAGGTCCCTGGTTTGAATTCTGAGGTTTTAATACATCCATCTATATTTTTTAATAGTATATCAAGTGGAGGCAAAGTTTGGTTTATCAATAACAGAAAATCCAAATCAAACTAAAACAATGAATTTCATTGGCTTGAAAATCAGGAAGATCAAAATTAGGTTGGATTTGATTCCATGTCTCTGTGATTCCATCAGTGTTCTGCTTCTCTAGGTGGGAGCTTCAACCTCAAGCTGATTTTCCTTATCACAGGGTAGCTACCAGACAACAAGGAAATACATATCCATACATTATTTGCCTTTTTGTGACTTTCTCTCAAAAGAAAAGTTATTTTTTTGCCTTGCCCAGGAAAAATGTTCCTATGTCAACTAATATGGCCCTGCCTAAGCTGAACAAATCACTGGCAAAAATGAAGGGCCACCACAACTGGTTTAAACTAATCAAGAACTACCTTTCACTCTACAGTAAATTCTCTCTCTTTTTAAAAAAATATTTCATTTATTTATTTTTAAAGAGAAGAAAAGGGAGTTGGAAAGAGAGGGGGAGAAACATCAATGTGTGGTTGCCTCTCATGTGGTCCCTACTGGGTACGTGGCCCACACCCCAGGCAAATGCCTTGACTGGGAATTGAACCAACAACCCTTGGGTTCACAGACCCACACTCAATCCACTAAGCTACACCAGCCAGGGCTACAGTAAGTTCCCTAAACCAGAGATAGACAAACAGTTTCTATAATGGGCCAAATAAACATCTCAGGAGCGTGGATCATCCAATCTTTGTCACAATTACTCAGTTCTGTCTTTACAGCACAAAAGTACTCAAAGACAACATGTACACACATAAGCATGGCTGTTTCATTGTTATGGACAATGAAATTTGAATTTCATATAATTTTCATGTCACAAAATTTTAACCTTTTTTATGATTTTTCAGTCACAGAAAATGTAATAATTATTCTTAGCACATAAGCCTGACAAAATCAGGCAGTGCTCACCTTTGCTCTATCACTTTGCTGTTTAAAATGGAAAGGGGTAGAATGCATATGTGGAAGTCAGCTGTAATGTGGTGTCCACTATAATTACCTCCAAAGTCCCTTCCAATTGCAAAATGAATGATACTATAGAACAATTAATGTATATCTCAGTCTTTTGGGCATCAGTAATTGGGCATATAATTCTCCTGGAATAATTTGAAATAAAGAAAAAGATAAATTGTCAACATATGTGACTTTACACTGAAACCCTATTAAGATTGAAAAGTACATATAAAATATGCATTATATACTTCACATTGGGAGTTGTAAAGTAGGTTATTAAAACATCAAAGTTAAGCCAGTATAAAGTAATAAGTCATCATATGTATCCCCAGTTCAACATTCCAATCAGAATCAAAATGATTAATATAATAAACCATGTAGATAGTTATCATTTTTAATTTCTACTAATGCACAGTCTTTCTAGGCTTGAGCACTACAAAATCCTGTAAGTCACTAGCTTCACAGTTTTTCAGAGATAAGGTCTTTATTTGAAAGAGTTACACAAGAGAAAGCAAATGAGAAAAAAACACTCATCTACTCATTAGTCACACAGAAATACACATAAACTCCTCTGAGCTGTAATTGCATCAAATAGTACCTTAATGAACTGGGAAAGCTAATCATCTTGCTTAAGAATATAAGGTATACTGAGGTGATGTTTAAGTGCCAAAGGGAGTCTGATTCATTAATCATTTACATTGTTCTCTTCACCACTATAATATATATTAGTATTAACCTTGAAAAGTAGGAAAGGATAATGGACCATAATGGCTTTGGGCCCAGAGTCAAGTCCTACAATCTCAGCAGCTATGATGCCTAAATAATACAGTTTAGCCTGCCAAAGCACAATTCCAGGATCTGGATGATAAAAGGAGCAAGAAGAAAAAGGATAAATAGATCATGCTCTTCTAGCACTAAGATGGCTCTGGAAAAACTAGCAGCATTTGTGGAAAAAGGCCTAAGAAAAACAAGATATTACTTTATATCTTAATCAGGCAATTATTTATTTTTTGACTCAAAGTATATTTTTTTAATTTTAAATTTTTTATATACAATATTTTCACCCAGTCCTCTAACCACCCTCCCCTCTGGCAACCATCAGTTTGTTTTCTGTATCTATAAGTCCATTTCTCTTTGGTTTAGTCATTTATATTGTTTTTTAGATTCCATACATAAGTGAAATCATATGGCATTTTCCTTTCTCTAACTGACTTATTTCACTCAGTATAATACCCTCTAGGTCCAATCAGGTGATTATTTTATTATGATCAATCCATTTAACCACTGAATGAAAACCTCTAGAGACTATGATATTTTACAGATTCTCTATAAATCTCTGAACTCTCTAAAGATTATCATATAAGCTTTGTCCTACAAAACCATATAGTCATAAAAATGCTAGGGGAGGAGTAGGAAATAGGATGGATTCAAATTCTACAGTCTGGTTGACAGCACTACCAGAAATATACACACTAAAATTGTAAACTACTACAAGAATACTGACTTTCCAGGCCAAGTACTGTATATTACAAGCACATTGAAAAATGTATGACTGTTTGTATATTACACTAAATGGAGAAAACTATGGATTTTTACTTCAAAAAAAGATTTTAGTCAATAGAAGTTATTTTAATGAGTTGAGAGCAATAATTGATAACCTTCCCATGTTACTAACTTTGATTTAGTTTTAGTTTCTTACTCTCACTGACAGAATTAGGTTAAAGTGTACAACTACAGAAAGAATATTTTCATTATTCATCTTTATAGCACTGTATTTCAAAGAGATGAACATAGACCATATAATTGCCTATAATTTATAAAATTTAATTAAGAATAATTTTTAATATAACTGATTTCCTTATCTGACTAAGTTATGGTAAGAAGATGTATCTTGAAAATTTTGGATTTAAAAGAGTTAAGCAATATTTTGAACAAAGAAGTTTACATTTATTCTGAGTTCTTTGAAACATTGGGAAATAGACATTTTTAAATTAACTTTATCCAAAAGAAAATCCCACTTTAATTATACCAGAAATTCTTGACAGTCCTGCCAGATACAAATGGGATTTTCTCCTGCTAAGTCTATAAAACCTCTTTAAACAATTATCTGAGTCTTAAAAACATATCAGAATATTGATATAAAAATCTTTCATCATTCTAAAATAATATCTGGATCCTACTCCTCTGCTAGAAAATATCTAAAAAACATGAATGCTGCTGAAGCTGGGCATTTGCAAAATACTCAGGTTTAGAACCCTTAAAGGTAAACTACAATATCTAGCTTTTAGAAAACTAGAATGGGTGACTAATGTTAGTAACTGTCTAACATATTAAAAATATGATAAATAAGAGTTAAAAAGAAAATTTCAGGTCTTGTTAATCACTATGGTCATAAATTGTCATAAAGTAAAATAAAATCAAATTTATAATTATAAGTTAATAAAAAAATGACAATTCTTCCCCTTCTTTACCCCATTATCCCTCTGGTTACTGTCAGTTTGTTCTTTATCTCAACGTCTCTGGTTCTATTTTGCTTGCTTGTTCGTTTTGTTGATTAGGTTTCACTTATAGGTGAAATCATATGGTATTTGTCTTTTACCACCTGGCTTATTTCACTTAGCATAATTAATAGTCTCCAGATCCATCCATGTGGTAGCAAAAGGTAGGAGCTCCTTCTTTCTTTCTACTGTGCAGTATTCCATTGTGTAAATGTACCACAGTTTTGATCCACTCATTTACTGATGGGCACTTAGGTTGCTTCCAGCACTTGGCTATTGTGCACTGTGCTGCTATAAACATTGGGGTGCATAGATTCTTTTGAATTGGTGTTTCAGGGTCCTTAGGGTATAATCGCAGCAGTGGAATTGCTGAGTCAAAAGGCAGTTTCATCTTTAGTTTTTTGAGGAGATTCCATACTGTTTTCCAGAGTGGCTGCACCAGTCTGCATT